AAGAACTGAAATAAAAAGTGTCAGGGACTGAAATATAAAATTAAAGCTACACCTAGGGTTGAGAAAATACTTAAAGTCAGACGTCCGATCAACGGATAAACAATCGGACGCGTCGGACACCTGCTTGTATATTTCAGCCTATACGAACTACAGAGTGTACCAGTCAATAGCTTCTCTATACATCTTTTCTTTTCTCATTCACAGTTATGCTGCACATGTCATGTCATGTCTATTCATACATGTCCACACGTAATTTTTTTTACTCATCTCCACCCTTTTCTCCGCCTTTAAATGTTTTTTCTCCTAAAATAATTATCCAATCTATAATATGATTACATCATTGTATTCCTTACAATTAAATCTTAACAACAAGATATCACACGATTATATTTTGATAAAAAATCAAACGATGTTTCACCCATAATAAAAGTTTGTTTCAGTTCACTCTATAAAATGTTTTAGAGAAATGCAACATTTAAAAATACAGGCTGCAACACTAGCAACCACTTATATGAAACACTGAGTCCTAATGAGTGAAACAAATAAAACATATCACAGATACAATATATTTGTAAAAACCCGATATTGTTGAAATATTTTTATATCACATATGAACACTAAACTATAATTATTGAAACATTATAAAATACTTGCTAAAACATTCTAGGAACACCACGTGCAACATTTGCAAATTAAATAGTGAAACACCATATGAATACTGACTGAAACATTTAAATATAATAGGTGCAACATTTGAAAAATTCATGAATAAAGCTAAATATTTTTTTCATCGGATTATAGTCATGTTTGGTCTTATTTTAAAGATTTAATTGCAACGAATTTAGTGGTGCAATCGAATCATGAATTGGAGAAGTAATTTAAGAGAAAAAATAGTTTAAAGTTTGCTAAAAAAAACTTAAACCAACCTAACTTTTGTTTTCTAGTATAGATGCATGGCTTCCTACGCTTGCAGTGGGCTGCACCTGGTGCTGGTGTGTCTGCATGTGTTGGCGGAGGTGGAGGTGAGCGTCCGATTTTTAGCTAAAACATCGGACGTCCGATCCGTAGTCACCTCCCTAGGGTTGTGTTTAGTTCACACCAAAATTGGAAGTTTAGTTGAAATTGGAATAATGTGACGAAAAAGTTGAAAGTTTGTGTATGTAGGAAAGTTTTGATGTGATGAAAAAGTTAGAAGTTTGAAGAAAAATTTTGGAACTAAACACGGCGCTAGAGTCACTTAATTTAGCCTATGTGGCATTATAGGACTCCTCTAATCAGAAGGACAATTGTTAACGCCCTGACTACTTATTACTCCTTCTGTCCCATAATATAAGGCCCCCATGACATGATTTGTGAACGATGATATGTAGGTGATTCTGACCGTCTCTTGGTGAATGACCAAATCGCTCCCTAGGAGGTGATTTTGGTCTTTTCCCTTCATTGTGAACTTCCTCACCTCCTTGCTTCTCATACTTATTCAAAAGCATATCGAAGGTCACCTTAGTCTTCTTTGGAGCTTTAGAACTTGAAACTTCACTCCTATTCTCCTTCCAAACACCAACCTCCGGATTCTTTGGCACCATCATCTTTGGCCTAGGCTCTCCAATGACCACTTCTTTCCCCTTAGTAGATTCAGCTTGCTCCAGCCGAATCAACACATTCTTATCATTAAAATTAATTGTATTCACCGGAAAAGGATCATGATCAAGCTTCATCTTAAAACCATCGTAAATTTCAATCGTCCTTCATCTATGGCCGATTAAACTTGTCGTCGAAACACATTGCAATCATTAGTAGAATGAGAATGAGAATCATGACATTTACAATAAGCTCAACGTTTTAATTCCTATTGAGATTGTATGACATGGCCTTTAGGTAACCTTATTTGCTTTTCTTGCAAAAGATAATCAAAAATCTTATCACATTTGGCTACATTAAAACTATACTTAACCTCACCTTGCCGATCTTTACGAGGAGTCGGCATTAAATTAGAACAAACAAAAGGCTTATTTTTGTTAGTCCATAACCACTCAGCAACATACATATCATGATTACCATTATCATTAGAATCACTAGCCTCATCCCATTGCGCTAAGAATTGACCTACATGCTCTTATGTGGTCCTACTATCATCACCACTAAATTTGGTAAATTCGGGAACTCTATAGCCATGAGGATATGGGATGTTATCATAGTAATCAGGTTACGGCTTTTGGTAAACCTTAGCATGATTCCTAGCTTCAATCCCGAATTTATCCCTAATAATACCACTAATCAATTCCTCTATATTCTCAGGCCTATGCTGATTTGGTGGTGGGTTTGGTGGCATAAGAGGTTGTGGTTGCGGCACAATATAATTATATTGGCCATACCTAGTATTGGGAGGATATCTTCTAGTAAGATCATTATAAATATTAGGGATATGTGGGGGAACTTGAGGACTAACAGTAGATATAGGGGAATCATGTGCTGGAATATGGTATAAAAGCCCATTATTTGTCATTGGATCAATCCCCTGTATCGGGATAATTGCGCCGGTCTGACCGGTCCAAGGCCCGGTCTGACCAGCATCCAGAGGCGCGGTCAGACCGGGAAAGAACCCGGTCTAACCGGCCATCTGGCCGGTCTGACCGGCGGTAAACGCGCGGTCGGACCGGCCATCTGGCCCGGTCGGACCGGCTGAATGCACAGCTTATCCCTCACCGGTTGTTTGCATATTCGCCCCCATCGGTTTTGTTGTATATTTGATCAACAAGGGCTTTGCTAGTACTGGTAGAGGCTTTAGTCTGAAAATCGGCTAAAAAAGAACCGAATTTATTCCTCATAAAATCTTCAATTCGCGCATCAAAACGAGATTCAAAAGATGCATCTAATTTATTATTTGAAGCAACAATGGATGAATCTATTGTATTGCCACGAGATTTTGGATAGGAATTGGTACCTCTTCAGCACCTACCGAATCAAAAGTAGATTTAGGCAACGGTCTAGGCTTGAGAACCACAGGTCTTGGTGCACGATCTCATCAGCATCTCCTGCGTGACCGCCTTGATGTGCTCCTCCATGATCTTGTGTGCTTCCCCATCAAGATCCTCCAATGAGATTGGCATGATATTGGATGGTTCCACCTCTGGCTTGGTCATTTTCGTCATGGCGGCGTCGAAGTTGAGACGACGTTGAGCTGATTTCCCCAGCGGAGCCGCCAAAAATCGTGTTGGCAACTTTTTGTGACAAGTTGACAAGCACGATCGCAGCACCTAAAGCTTTGCGGTGATTCTAGAGTCGCCAACCACCTCAATCAAGCAAAAGCTAAACCAAGATGGGTTTTAATAAACTAAACCGGCTAGCGGAGCAGATATAGATAGAACGATAGATAACTACCCGTCTTGTGGGCAAAACGGAAGGTTTTCAGAACAAACCTACAAAGAGGTGTCGCATTCTCGCAACGGCGGCGGACGATTTACAACGCAAATCGACAAAGATGGACAAACTAAACTAAAACTAGAAGCAAAAGTAAAAGAACGATTCGATTGATTGATAGTTGATTGATAGATTACAATTAAACCGGCCTTGTCCCTTATATAGGGGTTGGTCTTGCCCTCTACAGGCCCTCCTCCACGTTCGACTCGGGATAGAATCCAAAGGAAACCCGAAACATGCCTTCCCGAGCAAGGAAACCTCGAGACCCGACGAAACAGACTCGGCTTCAGACTTTGGCGGTCAGACCGGCCACACACCGCCGGTTTGACCGGCCCACTGTCGGCGGTCTGACCGGCCAACATACGACGGTCAGACCAGCCTTCTCAGCGGAAAATCGGCAGATTTCCAAACTTTGGCAATTTTCCTATTTTATTCCTAGGTGCCAAATTTGGGTGTAAACAGATATTATGCATATTTCTCTATTAGGGCCAATCAAACATAACGTAATCATATTGATGAACTACTCCTACTTGGATGTATTGTCCTTCTCTACCAGAACAAATGCCAAGGGAGTAAGTTGTAATCCGGCATCAATCCCTATTCCCTATTGTTGTGAGCAAGGTACCCTTTGAATTTGCCTATGAGCAAGTATAATAGTGCTATAAGCCTACTATAAGCTTATATGGAGGAGAGATGTAATAAAAAGTTAAGGGTGTTGGCTCTCATGCAAGAGCTAGCTTAACACAAGCTCCAATACAAATACAATTAATGTATAAGTGAGAGATAGAGAGAGGAGAAGAAAATTGTAGCCAACCTTGTAGCTAATCTATTATATGTGTTAGCTTTAAGATGGGCTAATAGTAGGAAGTGAGCTCTATTATTATCTTTGCTCTATTAAGATTGGCTAATAGTAGGAAGTGAGCATCCTTGCTCTACTAAGAAAGTTTCATCAATTGCTAATACCAGCCTTAAGTTCTTGAATGTCGTCACACATTGCCCGAAAATCCATGAAGCATAGCCAAATACACACCTCGAGACTCCATCTATCAATCTTAACTCAATAGTTTCATATTTATTTTGGCTCGATTATGTTTCGAGCCGAGATATAAAAGGTTTAGGTTTTAGATATGTTAGGCATCTTGTTTGGATGTCATCGAGGATGGGGTGCTCAAAAAGATAAATAGGTGGTCAAGCTATCAATTGCTCGAAAAGTAACATTCTTGATGACTCTTGTTTTTCTATTTATCGTTGGGTAGCTCTATTAAGTTTGGCGGTTTCATGAGAGGAAGCCCTCCTGTCTTTCCTAATTGGTTCTTAGTTCTCAAACCTTGGACATTGTTGTTTATGCCATTTGCCCATCGGACATTGCTCAAATTTGTTGCAAAAGTCAGAAAAGGCTATGATCACAATAAAACTATTCAAAATTTTAACTTGTACAACAGAAACTAAAATGGGCAGTGTCTTGTGATAATTTAACTCAGGTATGCAAAAAATCAAATACACTTGTTTTTAAGGATAATCATCAGGTTGAGCCCTTATTGAGATTCTTTCTCTTCGTGCTGCATCACACATAATCTGTAAGATTATCAAACCAATGCGTTTCAAGTGCATCTTGTATTCCCACTCTCAAGTTGTATCATGTTGTTGGCACCATTGATGCCAACATGAAGTTGTCCATAGGCTAGCAATTTTAAGGGTCATTTATTTGGACAGAAGCTTTGAAAAACATATACACCTATTTTCAATTTTCGCAACAAGTTCTGTGCTTATTGTTACAGCTTCCAATGATAAGTTGGGTACAACTTTTAATCTATTTTTCAGATGAACATACACTGTATTTTCTAGGTAGAGGAAGGGGCATCTGGTTGTCTGTCTGGGAGTGCTGCTTGAAATGCTGGATGTTTCATATACTCCTCATGGAGCCTCGCGAGAGTGGGATAATTTAACTGCCAAGAAAACATATTTCATTAGATTTAACAAAATAGATAAAGGCATATGCATGGATAGAGTAAGAAGCACAAGAACAGTACCATGTTAATTTGAAAACGAGTCACTGCTGCATAAATCTGAGGTGCGAGGAATACGTCTGCCTGCATGTGTAACGGAAATGCAACAGTTACTGAAGCCAAAACAGTGCTTGTTAATATTTGGAGTGTTCACAAACATGATTACATAAACAAAGGGAAAGTTAGTAAATGGCAATCTATGGTTCTCATGAGGAGTACAGTGAATATGAGGATGCATTTTTATTTTATCACTTCAGTTTTTTCTTTTTTCACATGGGAGAACTTCACTCTGTTTTAGGGAAAAAGTGACACAATTTGCAAGCAAGATACACGAAAAAAAAAAAAACCTTAGAGAAGATCTCCATACAAGAAAGGATAAAATTGTTAGGGCAGCATACACACCAATCGGACTTCATCTCCTGTTGCATACTTCCCAGCACAGCCTTTTACTAGGTTCTCAGCAGCTACACCATTGGGGAACGAAGTGAGCATGGTGTGACATAAAAGCAAATCTAAATAGGCAGGAATGTGAAAAGGGGAGGAATATGAGTGAGCTTCTCACAACATGCAAAACAACTGAGTTATGCATAACACATTTTTTTTGAAGCAGATTTGATGGTGGAAGTAAAGCTGCAAAATATAGTCATTTGATTAATAAAATAAAGGATACGTCAGTGAGGAGAACCTGCGAAACCTCTGTCGATCTGTTGTTGAGTCCATGGGATGCTCTCCCCTGTACCAACCTTCTTCTCAATGAACCTCTGCAAAGAAACAAGTGGCCCGCAAATTATTCTGTTATACAATATTTTTTTCCCTAATTGAGCTGTACTATATTAATTTTACTACAGAAGCACAAACTGTTTAATATAGAGTTAATCTGAGGCACAAAAATGCATCTTTGCACAATGCAGCCAGATAGACATGGAACACAGGTGCACTGAGTAATCAAATACCAGGCAGAGAACCTTACATGGCAGTAAGAAATTGAATGCAAATCAGTTCTTACCAGTACGGTAAGATTGTGAAGAGGTTGAATTCCAGAGCATACAATGCTTGCTATCTGCCATAAAATTAGATTATGTCATGAAAGGTCACACTAGGCATGATCAATCGGTAAGAGGAAAAAAAATCTAGTGCATACAGTAAGCTATATTTTCTGGATTATGCCTAAGCCTATCTTATATCCTTGTGCTCAGTATTCCTATTATCCTGAAACATGTGTGGGCTGATCCTTTCCTCTTTTTGTTATTGTTCTGATGTGATCTTACCTTCTCAAATAGGCACTAACTGAACATCAACGCTGCTCAACCTCAACAAATTACAAATAGCACTTGTATATCAAATGGAATGTTTAATTGAGGTCATCATCCTGCGCATAGCAGTGCAGAATCTATCATTACCTGGAGATTCAAGGCCTTCATTTTAAGGTCTTGAGGTAAAAGAGGGTGCTCAGGGTACTTGTCCTCCAAATACTGCAATCACATAGAAACAAGTCAAGAAGCGGCCAATTTTGATGCTATAAACTACTGCATCTCAAAATTCTGAATGCTTACTAATGCTATCGCGTAAGAATCACCAATTACAGCATCTCCATCGACCAATGCCGGGACGAACTTCATAGGATTAACCTTCATGAATTCTTCCACCCACAAACAAAAAAGAAAATAGTTGAGGCTACCACACATGTGTTCTATCTTTCGGTTTGAGTTTCCTGTTTTTTGGTTCCTCCCCTACGATTCTGAGCTAGTTGTGCATGGGTGCGTGCCACGAATGGGTGGACATCATGGCGCATCGTGTGCGTATCATGCGTCCAGTTACAAGGGTACTAAGGCCATGATCTGCATATATCACTTTGCTTTATATTGCATCAAGAAAATCCCGAAAAGAGGCGCTTCCACATGCTGCACCGAAACCTCTCATGTTCATCTCAATTTTCTCAGTTGTGCATTTCATCGAACACCTTCCTATTCATCTTCCCCCACAGAGCCTAGCCTTGTGGATTTCGGGCCGATCGCCTGCTAGAATCTTACCTCTCAACATCCAAGCACAAATTTGCGGCGGTAATTGCACGAACAGTCTCTAGACGCAGCACAAAACCGTACACAAGTATAGATAGGGGGAGGAAAGCAGTTTGACAGACAGGTGGCGTAGCACCTAACCTGGATCAGAGTGCTCCCCCTTGAGCAGGTTCACCGCCTTGTACTCGTACTCCAATCCTGCAGGAGACAGACATCAAAATCACCCGCACGCACGCACGCACCAGGTTCACTCACTCTGCCCGGCCATGAGCCAACCACGCATAGAAGATGACGACGAGAGGAAGGCAATCGCGCGGCGCGGGCACAACGTACCTTTGAGGTTGAGGGCGATGCGGACGCGGTGCGAGCACGAGCTCCGCCAGTACGAGTACAGACCCAGCTTCGCCGGCGCCACCGCCGCCCCCGCCGCCTCCGCCATCGGAAGCCGCCGCCGCCGCCTCCGCCGCGAAGCGTACACGTCAGCGAGCGAGCGAGCGAGCGGAAGGAAGAAGACGAGTGGTCTCTGACTCTTCTCCGTGGGCCACGAGACAAAACTCTAGAAGAGCCCATCAACCGCCCCGACAGGTGGGCCCCACCCCACCCAGGGTGGAAACTGGGATTTCGTTTTCGTGCTAGCCCCCTGTAATTTTGTTTATTTGCGTTTAGGTCCTCGTCTGGACCTGGCTGCGATTTTGCCCCTCCTCTCTAATCCTCTCTCGCTCTCCACTACGAGGCCACCACCACCACCACTCTCGCTCGCTCCCCCCACTCCCACTCGCCTGAAACCCTAGCAAGGAGCTCCCGGCGGATGGACGAGGGAGGCGGCGCTGGTGCTGCGGCTGCCGCCGCCGGGAACGCGGCGGGGGCGGCGGTGCACCACAACGCGCGGTCCGCGGAGGACGTCTTCCGCGACTTCCGCGCGCGCCGCGCGGGCATCGTCAAGGCGCTCACCACCGGTGGGTAGCTCTCTTCGGTGTTGTTTGGGATGCTCTTTGCTGATTGATTGATTGATTGATTTGATGGATTTGCTGTTCTTTTTTTTGTGTGGTTGTGCAGATGTGGAGAAGTTCTACCGGCAGTGCGACCCCGGTGAGGCTAGCTCCCCGATGTTCATGTGTTTGAGCTAAATTTTTTGTGTTTGGGGATGTGAGGCTTTGGTCTTTTTTGCGGCTGCTCTGGAGTCGCTTTTGCTTTTTCTGGATGGACGGAGCTTAGTATGGTTGCGATTTTAGGGTTTGCTCCAGTGTTTCTTAAAGTTCCTTAAAGCTGGAATAATTGATTCCTCGGGGAAAAGAATAAAAGCTCGAATAATTGGTTAGTTGTAGCCCTAACTAATCTGTCTTAGTTATGGCGGTTTTAGTGTTTATCGGTGAAAGCTTTTTCTTCTTAGCTGGTATCTTGCAGTCGCTTGCCGGTGTAATTGGGTCCATTTAAGTCAGTTTGTTAGGGGGTAGTTTCAGGTTTCAGCAAATTAAAGTACAATTGTTGTTGCGGTTTGCACTATCAGCATCTGGGACCTCAGAGAGCATGCTTAAATGATGATTGCATTCAAAATACTCTATATGAACCACAATCAATCAGATGTGGTCTTTAAATAATTAAATTTTCATTTGATTGAAGCTAGTGTATCAGCTCAGTGTAGAGGCTGCAAATCAAATCCTGATCACATCGTGCTAATAACTATTCTCTTTTCCAGATCGATCATCATGTAAATCTATGATCTGGTTATTGGACCGTAGGATTGGGAATCTGGTTGAAAAATTTTAACACATTTTTAGGAAAAGGCTTCATGGGAGTTATTCTAGTTGGCCATACTCTTTCTCCAGCCTTGTGTAATCCTCACTGCATTTTATTAGCAAACAAAAGTTGTTTTCCATGGTAAAAACTGTGTTTTGTGAGACCCATGACCCAAAACTCAGGGTTTTCTGAAATTTCCTCGAAGTAAATATTTTTAGTAAAGAAATTTCATGAATTGAAGACAGAAGTGGACAAAAAGGTATATCCAAATTCAGTTACTGCTGGTCGCCTGGTCCTATCTGTAACTTATGTTAGCATGTAGAGGCATGTATTCATGGGCTTGGCCCACATCATACAGGACTGATTAATCATTACAATTTTCAAGGCCCATTAAAACACTAAAGCACCCTATTCTACAGGCCCAACAGCATACTTACATTGCTAGGGAACCATTGAAGCAGCTTCTGCTAGCATGATCCAAAATATAAGTTAATTGTAATTGTATACTGTAATCATATGATCCTGGGACATTTAACTTTTGGCCACTTTTAAGATGTGGTAATTAATTATTTGCCGCTCGCTGTCTATGACATGTGAGCCCTCATGTGTCTATGACATATGGGTCCAGTGGCAAATCATTTATCACCATCCGTAAGAGTGGCAAATAATTAATTATTCCCAAAATGTAAGTCAATATGCTAGTATACTGTAATTGCATCATTACTACAATTAAAGGTGAAAAACAACAGTAGCTCCAAAACTTACTGTCCTGTTGATGTTTGAAGACGGGTTTAATGTTTTAGGGGTTACGTGAGAATAATTTGTTTTGAGTAAATTGGTTTGTCGACTCCCTAGGCATAGCCCCAGTATGTGCTTCAAGCGTGTGTGGGTTAATCTTCAACTGTATGTAGCCATTTTGTGCTGTACTGTCCATTGAAATAATGATGAATGGTACATTACATCACAAGTAGTCTGTTGAATGAAGTTATCTTCCCTTGTTTATGTCATAGTAATGACATAGTGATCTCCTATTTTTTCAGAGAAAGAGAACCTGTGCCTTTATGGATTGCCCAATGAGACCTGGGACGTGACCCTTCCAGCTGAGGAAGTACCTCCTGAACTTCCAGAACCAGCACTGGGCATAAACTTTGCTCGTGATGGAATGATCGAAAAAGATTGGTTGTCGCTGGTTGCAGTTCATAGCGATGCATGGCTACTGTCTGTAGCATTTTACTTTGGGGCTCGCTTTGGATTTGATAAGGAAGCCAGGTTTGCATAGTTTTCGTTGCAGCTGTCGATGCATTTCTTATTTACAGAAATCAACTGTGATGAGGCATTCTGATTCCATTTGTCAAAGTTTACAAGAGGATTTTTCATCTTTTGTGTAATTATCTGAGTAATATTATCCAGTGCATTGTCACTCAACAATCAACATTATATTGTTTGGTAGAAAATGACAATAGTCCATAACTGGCATTTGAATTTCAGGAGACGGCTCTTCACCATGATTAATGGTCTTCCCACTGTATATGAAGTTGTGACGGGAATTGCCAAGAAGCAAACAAAAGTCTCCAACGGCAGCAGCAAAAGCAACAAGTCCAACCCTAAAGTATGTACATGTGATCATATGCATGTCTAACATGCATTATCTAGCGCCCATATCAACACAACGTTTAACCTTTTCGTTTCCCTTCTTTTCCAGCCATCGAAGCAATCCAATTCTAACAGCAAGCCTGCAAAGCCACCTCAGCCAAAAGATGAGGAAGACAGCGGCCCGGAAGGCACAGAGGATGAGGACCAGGCTTACATGTGTGGCGCTTGCGGAGAGACTTACGCGAACGGTGAGTTCTGGATCTGCTGCGACGTCTGCGAGAAGTGGTTCCATGGCAAGTGCGTTCGGATCACCCCTGCGAAGGCAGAGCACATCAAGCAGTACAAGTGCCCTGGCTGCAGCAGCAAGAGGAGCCGAGAATGACCACGGGAGGCTCCCGGTTGACATGTTTTAGAATCGTTAGGAATTGGTGAAGAGGCGGAGAACCGCTTCACCCGCAACCTGCTGCCGTGCAGCAGCAGACCCGGCGTGCAGGCCGGTTGTTGTATTAGTTTCAGTCATTGTGTTGTACCCGACATGGTAAGTAGCTATTGTATTTAGCAGGCAGGCAGGCTAACTGCTGTGGTCGTAGTGTGATGTGAACCTCTATGAGAGAGTTGGATACTCTCGGTGTTCAGTAGTGATTAAGTTATGGGTTAGTGTGTATGATTCTATGATAACTGCCTCCCCTTTCATGAGGTTTCTACCCTGTCTTGGCTCCTTTATTTGTTTTTTTTTTTTGTGGGACTTTTGGTTGCTGATGTTCGACAGTTCAAGACTTGACAACACCAGCTTCTTGGACAAGTTCAGGAACCCATCGTCAAGTGCATGTCTTTCTTCAAGCAGGTTCGAAAGGAAAAGAAAAAACAGAGAGGCAGAAACATTGTATATTTGTAGATAGATTATATGTGTGAGCAGAACAACAAAGAAATACACTATACAATACAAACCATTACTTTCTATCAGTGCTTTAGGCCCCCTTTGAATTGAAGGAATTGAAATTCTATACCATTCATGCATTTGATCCTGCATACTAGGGTGTAATTGGCACGGTGTTTTGATCGATACATGCGATGTAATTGGCTCCATTGCGGCTTGAGCTCTCTCTCTCTATCTATCTCTTGATTTTTTTTATTTTATGAACTTTTATATTTCTAATTTTTAAAACAAACATTTTCAACCCTATTCTTTTTAGAAAATTGAACCTGTTGATCACACCAGCCGAACTGTGGTAAAACAATAGTCACACTCATCTGAATGACGTGACGACAAAACTATCGCACCCGCTGTGGGTGGCATGACAATTTTATTTTGTCACGTGTGGCCAAAAGATTCATATTTTGAAAATAAGTTTTGAAAATATTTATGTTTGTAAAATTTAAAAATAAAAAAAGGTTCAAAAAATACTAAAAATTCCCCCTCTCTGTTCCTCTCTGACTCTGCGTGTGTTATTTCCTTGGGCTTTGTAAGGCCCGATTCAAAACGGGCTGGAACCACGCATCGCATACTACTACCACTTGGGCTTTCGTGTTGGTGTGTGTGTGTGGCTGTGCGCGTCGAGGAGAGAGAGAGAGAGAGGAGGAGGAGGAGGAGAGCGGCGGCGGCGATGGCGGGGAAGGGGTTGAACGCGACGGGGGAGTTCTTCCGGCGGCGGGACGACTGGAGGAGGCACCCGATGGTGGGGAACCAGCTGCGCCACGCCACGCCGGGGCTCGGCATCGCCATCGTCGCCTTCGGGATCTACCTCGTCGGCGAGGCCGCCTACAACCGCCTCTACCGCCCCTCCGGCGACCACCACCACCACTAGATCGCGTCGGCGGCCACGCGCGGAGACCCGCGCCGCCTCCCCGAGGTGAGCGCCCCCCCGGTGTAAAAGCTCCCCTTGTTCTCTTCCTCCGGCTGAAATGGGTTCGTTTCGTTAGATTTGGGATCGATTTGGAGGCGTTAGGGTTGTTCGGAAGTGCTCACCTTGATCTATCTATTGGAGATTATGTAGAGCTTTTTCATGTGAAACAGATTAGTAATTTGCATATTGAAACTGTGGCGCGGGGTTGGACTGGCTAGTTGTTCGTTTGCTTCCCATGACAATTCATGTTTGCTTTTTTTTTTTTCAAAAGATTAGGTGTCTAATTACATGGTGAAATATTTCATCCATAGGAATACTAAGAATGTATTTAGCACGTACGATCGGTGGAGAACAAAATTCTTGAGAAATGTATATACTAGGTGCCAATGAAGTCTGAACATCATTGGTTCTAGTCTTAGCATTCGTTCTGCCGTATAAGTATATACCTGCCCTAAGAAGAGGCATGTTGTGCCAACGAAATGTATATTGATTTGGTCATCAAGTCAACACATGTGGATAGCACTTGGTAAGATAACTGACTGGATGGCTGGATGCCTTTCCCCTTTAGCTGCATCTTAAGCTGTGATACTTGAAAATTGCATCTTTAATCTAGGTAGATATGTTTTACTATAACCCTAACTAGACTATCATGTGAAGCATGTTTCTGTACTATATGACATGTTGCCATCTATGTTGGAGCAAACATTATTCTTTTCTCAGTCCTGGTTGAATTCACTTTAAGATGCAAATAAGCTTGTTTCACATAATTTAGTATCACCTTTTTTTTCTTCCCTTTTCTGCATGATCATTGTCAGAATCTTATGTTTTTCACCTTCTAATGTGAACTTAAGAACTTGTCAGTGCACCACTATTTTTGTTGCATTGTGTTAGATACTTGAGTTACATAGTTAGGAGGTGTCCTTTTTCTGTGCATTGTGGTGAAATGAGAGCCAACATCCTTGCCGAAGTTACTCTAACTTTAGCATTGTTTGCTGTCACACGCCACTGTCTTCCCAGACTTCCATAAGTCGATTATCCTCTGGCAGATTCATTTGATCATTTCATACGGATTAGTGTTTTAATTTGAAAGGGGCAACTTCTAACAAAGGCATAGTTACATTTTATGATAAGTAGTTAGATGCCCATGTTGCAACGGGATCGAAAGATAGAAATATGATTCAGTCTCTCTATACCCGTTTTTCACAAAGAGTTGGGTTTTGGGTTTGTTTAGAGCAGTTTTTTATACCTCTCCTTAATGGAAATCGTGGAATCTATAGTTTATATCAATTAAGGAAGTCACTTCAAAATCTGGTTTTCTGAAGATGTATTCTTTTGTGATTAAGCTTTTTATGTATTTTTTTTTATATGTTTTGCATGCATGATTAGTTCCCTCCAACATTGCTCAAGCACATCGGCGGAGGAGCTAAAGCAAAGTTCTGCGCTGTTTGTTGTCCTATGTCTATTGCACTCCCTGGTATTTCCGTGATTAATTGCCTAACAGGTGTATTATGTGCTGCAGGTGAAGTGGTTGGAGCAATCTTTACCAAGCACCAATGTTGTTGATCTTTTCCAGTTTGAGTTCATAAGGTCTGCCATGAGGCCCATGACCATCATGTAATTTGCAACCAGGGAGACATGAATCATGTACTTTTATATCAATGTTCTGTGCTTATAATCCAGCATTTGGAAATTGGAAGTGACACTTATAATTCTGAAGTTATGTGAATTCTTCCATGCCCTTGTTTGAATTATGACCTGCACTACCTGATCAGTGCAACCAAGATAACTTTCAGATAAAAACTACCAAATCCGCGATGCGCTTGATTGATCAGCCTTGTTGGTTTGGCCTTTTTTATATGGAAGTCAGCAAGGCGATGATTTCTGCGTTGCGTCGCATAATCTGAACAAAAGCAAGTGGCGTGTGCTGTACACTGCTATTGAACAGATGAATGGGTTGTACTCCTAGAAGTTAGTCTGCACAGGGCGTGTGTTATTTGTTTATCATCATTGTAAAATACTAGTACTACATTTCATCTTTCTATCAGAAGAAGAAAAAAAGAACTACATTTCATTTGATTCCCTCAGCCTCCGAGAGTTGTGCAATTCTGACGTTGGGCGTAGCGAGTACCCGTCTCCCCTGCGCTGTCCTCCATTTCTGCTCATCCTGTAGCTATCATCCTCACTGCCGATTTCTCTGTTGCTGTCCATAGCATCCAACAATCTCGCGGCTCCATTGCTACCCCTCCTGAATCTCCCATTCATGCCATCTCCATCGCTACCCCTCCTGAATCTCCCATTCATGTCATCGATGTACTCTCTGTTGCCAATGTTCATCCTAGCTCCACTCTTTCTTCCTGGCTTCCATTTTGGCTCCTCCAAGTCTGAGGCGAAGCGATTAACAAACCGATCTCTTCTTCCATCACCATCGTTGCCTGCTCCACTCTTTCTTCTTGGCTTCCATTCTGGCTCCTCCAAATCTGAGGCGAAGCGATTAACAAACCGATCTCTTCTTCCCTCACCATCGCTGCCCCTCATGTACCTCCTAGTCCTCTCCCCATTGTTGGTATTAGCCATATATTTCAGCTCCGGTCTATCTCTGCCATTTTCGCTTCGGTTCAACCTGTTCTGAGTTTTCCATTTTGGCATCAACTTGTGATCCATTCCACTGTCTGAATTTGAACCAAACTCATCATCCGTCCAACCCTTTCTAGGAACATTCCTACCGCCTTCGTTGGGGGGATTCCACCTCCTAACATCATTCGTTGTGCGCCCTCTAGTCGTGGATCTCCATTTTGGTTCAAAACCATTGCGTGTTACCTCAGAGTCGGAGAATGAACTGCCACCCACCACTCGATCCTTCCCAATGGCGCTACCGCCATCGGTGTTCAAGGCCTTCCTTCTCCCTGCGGGACGTTTCCCTCTACTCCCACTATTTCTCTCTTGCCAGCTTTGACCAAGATGATATTCACTTGTGCCTTCTGGTTCCAAAGAGAAGCCATTGCCACGCTGATCCCTAACACCATCGCTACCGATGGCTACAGATGTTGTAGCTTCCCACCTTGCCACATTATCTTTCCTTCTATCTCTCCCAACCATTGCTCTTTGCTCGGGTCGCAAATCGACATCCCCCATGTCCTCCAAGTCCGAGGTAACAATGTCATCGTTCCATCCACCGTCGCTAGAATCGTCGTCGTCGCCACCATCCAAGTTACTCACTGGCTCCCACACTCCACCCCTTTCGATGTACTCAACCGCAGGCTCACGATCACCACCAACACCACGCATTTCCTTCTTGGCCGCATTCTCACGAACACCTTGCAGGCGGTGGCGGTGACTCCGGTCCGTCGCATCGGAAGGGTTACCGCGAGCAGCCAGTGTGCTCTCAAGGCCACCATTGACAAGACCGTAGGGCTGAACGCTATGGACGGATCCCTTGGGGAAGAAGCGCGCGGAGGCCCTGCCGGTGTCCGGGGCCGCGAAGACCCGCGGCCCGTCGCGGTCGTTCCAGAGGTCGACGCCGCCGGGGCGGTGGAAGCGGTCGGCGAGCGCCTTCATCTGGTCGTCCGCCGCGACGGAGAGCAGGTTGGGCGCCGCCGCCGCGGCGGCGGCGGAGTCGGAGGCGTCGGGGTCCCAGGGGCGCTCGAGGTGCGCGGCGGCGTCGCGGAGCTCGGCGCGCTTGCGCATCTCGTAGAGCTGGCGCTCCCGGGCGAGGCGCGCCTTGAGCAGCTGCTTGGCCTTCCTCGCCTGCATCCGCTTCCACTGCCACTTGGAGACGCCGCCGGGGAACGTGCGCGGGCCGCCGCCCATGCGGATGGCGAGGTCCCCGCGCCGGAGCGGCGCGCGCGGGCGGGCCTCGCAGGGGGAGGGGACCCGGAGTCCGCGTGAGGAGAGGGAGAGCGAGTGGAAGGAAGACAACGGCGGCGCCACCGCCGCGGCGGCGGCGAGGAGCGGCATGGTGGCGCGGCGCGAGGCGGGGATAGCGGCAGCGGAGAGGTGGAGTCCTCTCGACCACCTGAGGCTGAGGAGGAGGGAGAGAAATGGGAGGATTTTTTTTTATTTTTTTTTTGCTTGCTATCTGACGCGCGCGCGTCACGACCTCAAGCAGCAGGTGAAAGCCTTCCGCTCACCAAAAAAAAAAAAACCAGCCTCTTTTCCCCTCCATTTTTTTTTTGCCCTGTTTAGTTTCCAAAAACTTTTTCCCAAAAACATCACATTGAATCTTTGAACGTTTTCCCAAAAACATCACATTGAATCTTTGAACGTATGCATAGAGTATTAAATATAGATAAATTAAAAAACTAATTGCACAATTAGAGGGGAAATCGCGAGACGAATCTTTCGAGTCTAATTAGTCCATAATTAGCCATAAGTGCTACAGTAACCCACATTTGCTAATGACGGATTAATTAGGCTCAAAAGATTCGTCTCGCGGTTTCCATGCGAGTTATAAAATTAATTTTTTCATTTGTGTCCGAAAACTCCTTCCGACATCCGGTCAAACGTCCGATGTCCAAAAATTTTCTTTTCGCGAACTAAACGGGCCGTCATGGTTGATCTTGGCTGCCTAGTACTCTCGTGATAGCAAGTGCAGAACTTTGGTGGTAATGGATCGTATCTGTATAATTCGATACTTGTGGACCTCGGCTTTGTCTTTGTTGGGAAAATTTGAACCATGCCATACAAATTTTGCAAAATTTATGATATGCCACCCTGACCCATATGTCATTGACTCATGTGAGTGCTACATGTCATTAAGATACGGGTGGCATATCTTAAATTTTGTAAAATTAGGGTGCTTGTTTGTTTCTCTCCTCAAGAATGGTTGCTTGTAGAATTGCCTATTTATGTTTAGTTATGATAGTGTACGAGTGTACCATTGGAATGAGTAAAGCATAGTACAAGTTAACCTAATCATTTTGAAGCTGTGATGATTAGCTGCAGGTTAGTTGGCTTGAGTAGTGCCAGTAATGTTTTTGGCGTTTGTTCGTATTGCATACGTGATCCACAACTGGGGTGTGATAAATCTGTGCATTTGTTTACTGTTGGAATCATTATATGCCACCAAACTGTATGGTTGTTTACAGTTTGAAGCCAGGTTAGGCTCTGCTGGTGTTCCATCCAAATTCTGATAATTATGGCTGTGTTTAGTTCAGCGTAAAATTTAGATTTTGGTTGAAATTGGAGATGATGTGACTGAAAAGTTGTGTGTGTATGATATGTTGATGTGATGGAAAAGGAATGAAGTTTGGATCCAAACTTAGGATCTAAACCCAGCCTATTCTGAACTCTGAAGGATTGGCTTCAGAGTTTCCAGCATCTATCATGACTCGCTGAACGCGGTGCGGTGGTGGTTGGCTGTAGTACCCATCTTTTAGTTCTATCAATGTGAGTGACTTAGGCCTCTGTTCTTTCCACAAGTTTCCCAACCCCTTTCCCTCGTTTTTCACGTGCACGCTTTTCAAACTGCTAAATGGTATGTTTTTTTGTAAAAAGTTTCTATACGAAAGTTGCTTTAAAAAAACAAATTAATCCATTTTTGACAAAAAAAATTAACTAATACTTAATTAATCACACGCTAATGGACCGCTCCGTTTTCCGTGCGGTGGAGTTGGGTTCCCAACCCCAAGTATCAAACACAGCCTTAATGTGACACAAGCTATTTCTACTCACCCAGAAAAAATTTCCCCTTTGGAAACAATTTTGCATTTCTCGTATGTATAGCTTATGTAATCTAGGCAATAAAGCATCTCAATGGACATAGTTATATGCAGAATCACAGACAGAATAGGAATTTGGAGTTTGAATTCTTCATAGATACTAGTTTTACTATGGCTATGTTTAGATCCAAAGTTTGGATTTTGGATCTAAACTTTGGTCTTTTTTCATCACATCAACCTGTCATACACACATAACTTTTCAGTCACATCATCTTTAATTTCAACCAAAATCTAAACTTTACGCTGAACTAAACATAACCATAGGTAATCACAGAACTGTCTCTTAACGCGGTTTTGCATCTGCAGGAGAATGTTTTTTAGCAGAGTCAAGGATGATGATCCCGGACTGCCATATAATCGACTTGGAACTCCACTTTCAGATCTGAAAGCAACTCTGGTACTAGTGAATGTGAAATACAAGCTGCTACTAGTGAAATTCGAAATTTGCAACCATTTTCTTCTCCGTTTGCAGGTTGAATTGGACGAGTCAAATGAACATGATGCCGAGATTGGAGAGGCTTTCTTTTATGCCGTAGATGAAGATGAAGATTAAGTTAAGTGTTTTACGCAAAACGAGATGATATTAACGTATGATTAATTAAGTTGTAATTATTATAAACTTGAAAAATATATTTATGATATTCAACTGCTTTTATAAAGAAATTTTTTGCATGAAGCATATTGTTTAGCAGTTTGAAAAATGTGACATAAATATCCAAATTTTCATCTAACTTTTGTTGGAGAAAGAACGGGCCTGAGGGTACAATCACAGAAGTCGAAACTGTATTCTCAAGCTCTCACTTTTCTGAAATACCAGAAAGAATCTGAGTTTCTTGACGTCTTGAGTTGAGTGGCTCTTCTTCTAACAGGACGCATTCTGTGAACTCCTGAATTATGTTTTGCTGTTGTGAATGGAATATTGCTTGCATGATTTACAGTCTCCATGTGCAGATTACAGTCTTACTATGTCAGTTGTCGCTGCCTAGTGCCTACTCTATTAAGTCAATTATGTCTATTATGTCAATTATTTCTAGTGCCTAGTGCCTAGTTGTCTTATTATGTCTGTTGGAGTTGTTGTCAGTACATACTCTGGTTAATCTGCAATTCTGCATGTTTGAGTCAGTTTTCTATTAAGTGCTGAAACGTTGGCGGAATTGCTGGTCAAGCATTGGTTAATCAGAGATAATCATAGTATTAAAAAATGTTTAATCAGACATGATTATTAGTCAGACGACGAATAGTTGTGAGGTGATGCTGAGATCTTCATTTCTGAATACCTTGTGGAATCCGGATGGAATTTACAAGATTCTGAAAACGAAAAATCCTGTGGGAGAAGACAAGGTCACGAATCCCGATGCAGCACGGAGCCATGATCCAACCGCGCGGAACCCCTCCTTATCTGATCCCGAGATTCCTCTGCCCCCGCCGTCCTGGAATCCCACGTATCCCTTCCCACCACGGAAAAAAAAAATCCCACCCAAAAAAACCAACCAAACAGAGCAAAAAAATAAAAAGAAAAAGAAAAAATCAGCTCGAAAAAATCACTATCCACACCCCACAAAGATCCCCACGAAAAACTCTCTCACACACACACTCTCTCTCTCCTCTCTCTCTCTCTCTCTAGACTCCACTTCCCCCAATCCGCGCGAGCTCAACCTCCTCCTCCGCCATGTCCGGCCTCCTCCGGTGGAGGCGCCTCGCCGCCGTGGCCACGCGGGCGGCGTCCACCCTGACCGCGCCGGAGTGCTGCTCCCCGGCGGTGGTGGCGCCGCCGCACCGGCGCGTGCAGGAACGGCGCAAGTGGGAGGGCCCCACCTCCTCCTCGTCGTCGTCGTCCGACGAGCACGAGCCGCGGCGCATCCGCGCGGAGGCGCACTGCCCGCGCTGCTCCAAGCACATGGACATCCTCTTCTCCCACCGCGCGCCGCCGTCCTCCTCCGCCGCCGCGGGCGCGGGCGCGGGCGGCGGTGGGTACCAGGCGCTCAACCTCTGCCCCAACTGCCGCAGCGCCTACTTCTTCCGCCCCCACCTCCTCGCGCCGCTCCAGGGCACCTTCGTCGAGATCGGCCGCGTCCGCGCCGACCTGCTCCCCCACGACGCCGTCAGGGCCAGGGGCGCTTCCTTCTGGGAGGCCATCCGTGGGAGCTCGTCGTCGCGGGACGACGGGGACGGCGGCGGCGTGGCCGTGCACGTGCCGCCCGGCCCGCCGTTCCACCCCAACCTCAACGTCGTCCGCGTCGCCGGAGGCGGTGGCGGTGGCGGCGGCGGAGGAGGAGGAGGAGCAGGTGGTGGCGGTGGTGGTGAGGAGGGTGCGGGGAAGGACGGGTGGGGCGGGTCGAACCTCGGGAAGGATTTGCCTACGCCCAAGGAGATATGTCAGGGGCTCGATAAGTATGTGATTGGGCAGGACAGAGCCAAGAAGGTGAGGAAATTTTCTTCCAATTTTGTTGAATTTGTTCCAGTGCACTTATCTCGGTTATTATTACACATCCTGATTAAAATCGGTTAGTTCGTGTAATTAAAAACGTGAGGTCTTTGTTGAATTACATCGTATCTAGTTCTTCGCTTGAGACACTCCTACGCCGCATTTGGTTGTTTACGAGTCGCGATGGCGGCGAGATTTAGCAACAAAGTTATTGAGCTAGCTGTGTTGATTGTGATGATGCTTTGGGGCTTTGCTTTCAGTAAGGAACAATATTTACTTATTGGCCTGTTAAGCTATCTCATAAAATTGATATCTTTGCAAACTGGTTTTTAAATCAGGGGCTCAAGTGAGCTTCTACTGTTTTGACACTATCAAGGAATGATTCAGAACTTGATTTATTTCTTTAGTCAAATTTGTTCTAATTTGCAATGGATGAATCACTTCTACATGTCTACTTGATAGCTGATAACAAACACGTAGTTTTGTACAAAATGTATATAGAACATTGATTTGGACTGCTGATGGTGTTCGCATTCAAATAAACCCTTATTTCCACACACTTATCCTTGGTCTTCATTGTCCAACCTAATACACTTCAGATTCCGTACATAATTTTAGTACATATAGTGTTAATGAGAGTGATAAATCAAGTGTTGGTATTTTCTAAATATCACTTTCTTTCTCAATTTAATATATATTTGTCATGAGTTGCGAAAAGCTTCACCTCGATATATGTTCTTGTTCATCAAACTCAGATGATAAGTCAACTTCAAGTCTTTTGCTTAGTGTTGCATTAATCAACAGTAACGCCTCTATACTTTTGATATGCTGATCTCTCACAGCCTGTTAAATCTACAGGTGCTATCTGTTGCAGTGTACAATCATTATAAACGAATATACCATAAATCATTACAAAAAGGGTCAGTTTCTTTCTACCACCTTAGTTGTTCTTCTTGTTCTTGGAATGATGAAGCTCGTCTATTCTTGCACAAGAACAATTAGGATCGATGAATATCTTTCAGTGACTAATTATGTGGTATATAAGCTAAAACAATTAGGTCTGGAGCAGATTTGGGTGGTTTTGATGGAGAAGCTGATGATGACGATGGTGTTGAACTAGAGAAAAGCAATGTTCTATTAATGGGGCCTACTGGCTCAGGTAAGCATTTGCCCCCAAATTCAAAGTTGAATGTTGATGTAATGGGAACTGTCAATTATTTCTTCTACAACACTAGATCAACTATAACAGAGAGGGCACTCAGCACTGTTTTTTTGGATACTTTGTTTGTTTCACAGGTAAAACTCTACTTGCTAAGACATTAGCTCGCTTTGTGAATGTGCCATTTGTAATTGCTGATGCAACAACATTGACACAGGCAAGTCTTTACTAACTTTTAAATGCATAATGTCCAAGCACACATCTTTATGATTTGAGCTCATTACTTGCAAAAGTTAAAATGGTGAAGCCATTAAACTATGGAAAGATCCATTATATGCCACCACGTAACTGTGAGTTCAACATTTGCCCACTGGATGACTGCATATTCCTTCCATGAACACCTCTTGACTGGGGTGAAGAACATGAGTGAACAAATTCCACAGCCGACCAACTATTGGCTCAAAGTTTATACCCAAACTTCATTTAGTTGCATACAGCTGCAATAAAACCACCTCCATTACCTTTGCATTGGGTACATCACTTTTATAAGTATGAGCTGCCGCTTTGAAACATGATGATGGGAGTTGGACCAGACTAATGTAGGTCTGGCTTGGCAGCAATAGAGAAAATGAGAGAACAGCATGCAGGGCATGTCTGTTAGTCTCATGCTCATAGGTGCTAAATGGCCTTGCAACCTTAACAGAGAGCAATCAGACTGAGAGGACAGAGATTTCATAGAAGGAAGAAATTGAATCCTGATGCCATGGAAGGAACACACAATTATTCAATGGCAGTTCATTAAATTCAGTTATTCAGTGAAAACTAATGGAATTTCCCTTACATTAAACAGCAACAAGAAGTATCATATACAGCCACCAGCCCATTTGGATTAAGTTCAGAGTGATATTGTGAATGATCATTCATTTCTATTTGCTAGCATTTGCAATCTTCATCAGTTTGTTTTCCCCTTTTTTTAATATCATCTTAGTTCCAAAAGTAAAGCTTAACTCCTGCGCTTTCCTGCAGGCAGGGTATGTAGGAGAAGATGTAGAATCTATACTATACAAGTTACTGGCGGTATGGTTCTTAGCTTACAAATTGGACCTGCTTATTCTCTTTACACCATGCCTTTGAAAGTGATTTTGGATACTCTATTTTCAATCAGGTGGCAGATTTTAACGTGCAAGCAGCACAACAAGGGATGGTGTACATCGATGAAGTTGATAAGATCACAAAGAAGGTTTGTCTTTGTTAGCTGAATCAGTATGTCTTCCTTGGTGACATTAATCAGCTGACGTGTTCAACATGCAGGCTGAGAGCCTTAACATTAGTAGAGATGTCTCCGGTGAAGGTGTCCAGCAGGCTTTGTTGAAAATGCTGGAAGGCACAGTAAGTGATTTGCATTGATCTCCTTATGGCCTGGTTAGCTTATGTGTCTTTTGGCATACTGAATCACAATATATAAAGTGAAACCTTAATAAGCAGATATTGCTTACCCTCTACTCCTCTAGGATCTCTGTGCTTTGGATACAGATTAGTACATCATAGGTAGCATCCCCCGGCAAATGAAACAACATAGTATTAGTAGTGTGCGCGCCTGTTCAGTAGTACTGATGCATGATCCTTTGCTTTATGCTGGAAATATTTCAGTTTGAGCTTTTTCTTGTGATATTGAACACATATGGTACAAGTCATCAAGTTAAAAAAAAATTATGGTAATCCATCTAGTGACCTATTTAAAGGGAAATCATTTTGCTTATTTGGCTGAAATATATATCATATGATCTTTCTGGGATATTTTACTTCTAAGCAAATCAGAACTTACATGGACGTCTTTTGATACTTTTGTGAAATGTTGATATATTTAGATTGTCAATGTCCCTGAGAAAGGAGCAAGGAAGCATCCTCGCGGTGATAATATACAGGTACTGTCACAGTTTATATATTACAATCTTCAAAAATAAAATATTTAGCCTTTTTGTGCCGGAATAATTACACCATATCATTTTTATCTTCTGCTGAATGATAGCCCCAAGAAAAATACGGCAAGATAAGAGTTTTGGGTGTTCCATGACTGACAATAGTAATAGAGAACAATTCCTTTGTCTGAAATATCCATCCCCTGGATAGGTCTCATCCCAAATGCTGCTTTATATGAACATACTATTGTTCCTTTATACCATAAATGCCTGGTCTAAACTAGTGCAATTTCAGATTACCAACTGCCCAGTAAAACCTTGAGTTTGTTTTTCTACTCGTTCAGTGCTTGTGGTATGCACACATGGATTAACTTCAATTGTATAATGGTCTTCATGCCATACAGATAGATACAAAGGACATTCTTTTTATTTGTGGTGGTGCTTTTATTGACTTGGAGAAAACTATATCAGAGAGGTATTGCATATTGATCTTTGAGACTTACCTATTGGAACAATTGTCTCCAATGTTTTCTCAAATCGTCATCTAATGTATTTGCACCTGCTTTAATTTTTAAAAATCAGGCGGCAAGATTCTTCTATTGGCTTTGGGGCACCTGTCCGTGCTAACATGAGGGCAGGTGGCATCTCAAGTGCTCAAGTGACATCATCCTTGTTGGAATCAGTAAGCACCAAAATTCCGAGTTTAACATTTTTTGGAAATCTCCTTTGTTTAAGGAGAATGCATGTGTGAATTCAGTGAAATTACTGTGTAAAACCTTAAATCTAGGTGTTTAAACTGTTCATTTCTTAGGTTGAGAGTGGCGACCTAATAGCATATGGACTTATTCCGGAATTTATTGGACGGTTTCCTATCCTTGTTAGCTTGGCAGCTCTAAACGAGGACCAGCTTGTTCAGGTAATCCAATCATGTACTGTTTTTCTACCTAGCATCATCTTGTGATTTATTTATGATATCTTACCATGATAAAGCTTATAGAATGCTGTAAGATATTTATAGATTTTACCATGGAGCACTGATACAATCATGTTCTGTTAGGTTCTCATGGAGCCAAAAAATGCTCTGGGTAAACAATTCAAGAAATTATTCAGCATGAATAATGTGAGTATATCTGTAATAGAACCATGCAAATTAATGTCCCCTTGGTATCTCATCTCAACCCCAACTGTGGCTTTCAGGTCAAGCTTCATTTTACAGATGCTGCACTTAGAATAATTGCCAAGAAGGCAATGTCCAAAAATACGGGTGCACGTGGTTTAAGGACTATCCTTGAGAATATTCTCATGGATGCTATGTACGAGGTTTGTTATGTGACAAATTTTCTTCCTTTATATTGACTTTACAGTGTAGACATAAACTCAATGAGGCTGACACCGTTCTTTTTATGTTTTGCTGTGCCTTGCAGATTCCAGATGCAAAATCTGGTGAGAAGCGAATCGATGCGGTGGTTGTAGATGAAGACGCAGTCGGAGCAGTGGACCAACCTGGCTGCGGAGCTAAGATCCTTTATGGCGATGGTGCTTTTGAACGTTATCTCTCCCAGATAAAGGTAAGGATTCTTAATTCTACAAACTGATGGATGCATATGCATATAATCTGCAACTATAATATTCCTTGGGGAAAATACTGCAGGTAGCAGGGGATGCAGCGGGAAGCGAAGCGGATGGAGAAGCCGAGCTTTCCTCTTCAAGAGCCATGGGGATGTGATTTATTGGTTCTCACATCTCCTGTATAACCCTGTAAAATCTAATCCCAGATGTAATAATGTAAGTATTAGCCTTGTAAAGGAATATTGTGTGTAGTGTCTATTGCTAGTTAAAAAGGCTCCAGCGCAATGTTCAGCACCCCCACGCTCTTTACTTAATTTGCAGCAGGGTTTGGAAAGAGTATATAGCTCAGGGGATATTTATGGGTGTCGTACAGACAACCCTGGTTGTCATGAAAATGTAATGTCCAAGAATTGTGATGACTGCTGATGGATGTAAAAAAAAAACTTAGAAACAATGAAACGCATTGAAAGGGGGAAGGAAATGCCAATAATGCTGTTGTCAAAATGTTGGTGTTGTTCAGTGTTTACGTGATAGTGGAGCCCATTTTGGAAAGGCAGAGGAAAATCTGGAATTTTACAGGACTGAAATACAAATCTTGTGGAAATGACTTTTATATTTTGCATGTTTCTCGATCCATGTTACTGAGTTCTTTATACTGCAATTTCTCGATCCAGACAGACTAGTCTATGAGCAAGTTTAACAGTACAGCTCACTACTAGCTCCAATTTATCTATAGCTAATTTAATAGCTAATTCATACAATGGTTGCTTACTATACAATTAATACATGGTCCCACTTACCATATACACACTGCGTCTTGGAGTCCGTGCTGCAGCTGACTACAGATCTGTAGTTCGCTGCTCTTCTCTCTCATCTTTTATCTCATTAAAATATGTTTATAGCTGGCTAATAGTCTGCTATTGTACCTGCTCTAAACAATATGACGCATATGGTCATACATATATACTCCGTAGCTAACAAGTTATCATTAAGATCGTAACACAAGAAATTGAAGAGTTATCAGTTATCACCAACGCTTAAGGTCTGCCTGGTAGAGCTAAGCCAAACGAGATAAATTCCAAAGTTGCACTCTGGAAGAACTTGAGAAGCAGGAAAATCCAGGAGCAACCTAGGACAATCCAAACAAACTGCACAGTAAACGTTCGAATGCGGAGTGTAAGTGGTTACCATGTACAAATGTGGGGAAGAAGGGGGGGAAGTGAGGAAAAGATGACATGATCTCTGAGCATAAGACGCACAAATCCGTGTGTCTTCACAACATCAGAATGACTACACAGGCTAATCGGAGAAGATGACCCCCACTCCACTTCTCCATCAAAATACACAGTATATTACAGATATATCATCTATGCGTCCAGCAACAACATGTAGATCAGGATGGTCATTCTAGAATTCAGTGTCGAAGCAAGACGTCATCACCTTCGAAACAACCGAGCGTGCAAAGGGTATATAGCTTAGACTGTACCTGCAAATACCAACATTTATAGCTTGAGAATAGTTCTATCCCTGTGATCGTGCGACACTTATAATTAACCCTATATTGGGTTTATATGCTGCTATCCCATTTATAGCCCGTAAAGTGTTTCAGCCCATGTTAAAGAATGAGGCAATATTACTTTGGCGATTTACAGCATCACCTATTCATGTACAGAAAATTAGAAATACAGTACGAAACATGTTTGAGCGGCTGGCTAGCTGGAGTCAAAAGTTATGCCATTATCCTAGTTAAACAGATGACTAAAAACCATCCAGTGGAAGCTATTCAACTTACCAAACAAGAGCACCAAATTCCAAGATAATGGCAAGTAGAGTCAGCAGCTTGCTGTGCACCTGTAAATAAAAAATAGAGCCATTTAGCATATTATACAATTAAATTGAAGCATGATACAAAACTAATTTACACCTGTTAAATTTAAAATTGTCTTACAAAGAGAGCACAGAACAGAGCAATTATGATGCTTGCAATGTATACAGCAGTTGCATATATCCGCACAGAATCAAGCATCATGTCAAATTGCCTTTTGGGACCTATAAGAAACGCTGTACTGCCAAACAAATGATCCCATCATTAGTTGACATGAGTAAAAAAAGACTTGGTGGCTTCAAAGATAAATACCTAGCGGAGAAATGGCAGAATATTACAGTCTTGTAAGCATGTACACATAGTATTTTTGTAACGGAAAATATCATACCATGGCAAAGTTAAAGTACAGGTTAACATTTATGTAGACATAATTCAACAAGTTGAAACCCCATCTATAAGAAAAGAAAAAAAAGAGCATCCAAGATGAGAATATGATTATATGAAGAGCAATAGAGTTTGTATGTTTGCATTGATATGCGAATGTGAACAACACCCATATTTCTTGAAGTTTACATCATTCTGATTTTACTGGTGTCCAAAGGCAAGTAATAAAATAACTTGAAAATAGAGTAAGATGGTATATTAAATGGAACTTTGAAACAGACCTTCCAAGTGCCATCAAATTGCCAAGGGTGAATGTTACCCCGAATTTCACAGGATTGAAGAAAACAAGCATTGACTGCAATGGAGATCAAAAATATCAAATAACCCACAGTGGCTGGAGGGAAATGAAAATCAAACACAACAAAAATTGGTAGACAGAGAAAATCTGAAGAATAACCAACAATATAATAAGAACAGCCCTTAGTAAAGTTGCCCAAAAAAAAGGATACCCTTTAGTCCCAAACAAGCTAGAGTAGGCTGCAGGAACTAGACTAGAGATGAAACCCAAGTAAAATGTGAAGTACAATCATGTATATATTATTGTGTGTTTCCCATTATCTAAAAATATATTATTGTGTGTTTTTCTTGTTCTGCCACAGCTAGATCATCAGAAATATCATGTGATACAAGTATTAGTACTACTAACTGTTGTACGCTGCACGGAAATTACACAGCTTCCAACATTTGAGGTATTTATTTGCGCTCCCAAAGGCAAAAACAGTACCATAGAAAATGGTTTGAGAACTTTATGTTAAAAAAAGCATGGGGAACAATTATGCACCCTGTCCTACTATTGAAAAAGGATGGTTACTGCTAACTGTGTGAAGCATGTCTACGGCAATCAGATATATTGAACTGAGAGTCCAAGACCAAAAACGCGGCATTACGACAATTCGAACAACATGAATCAAACTACGGCTGCATTAACATACTGCAAGGATGAAGTATCGTCAATCGTCAGAAAGCATGGAATCTCATTGCTCCCTACATTACTTTGTACCAAAAAAAAAATCACCCTGAAGTGGAAACAAACAGATATGTACAGCATCAAACTGTGAAACTTACCAAGAAGGTGCACGTCAATCCGGCAGCCAAGCATATCGCGAAGCCGTACAGCCTCTGCACCGAGATTCCAAAAAACAAGCACCAGGATTTCAGCACGATCAGTCAACCGCATTTGCTAGAACAATCACTACTCGCGTCGACCAGATCTGAGCGAGGAACCCGGATCGATCCGGGCTGGGTGGGTGGGGTGGGGATGGAGCTTGCCTGGGTGGTGGTGAGGGCGCAGTTGCGGGTGACGTCGTCGAAGAAGGACTGCTCCTCCGGCGCCGACTCCTCGTCCACCTCCATCCCCACCAGCATCCTCGCCCGCTCCAGCGCCCCCCTCATCGTGTCCATGCCCCCTCGCCGCGCCGCGCCGCCCTCCGCCACCCCCGCACAGCCTGAGAAGAGCTTACTCCGGCGAGCTCCCCTACTCCGGTACTCGACAGCGTCGGCCGCCGATCCCAAAATCCAAAAATAAATAAATAAAAAATCTCTCTGAAATTTCTCCCTTCTCGAAGATGAAGACGACTCGACTAGTAGAGTCACTGAAGTGGACAGTTGGGGAGGAGAAGTAGACTTATTCAAGCCGCAAAGCTTAGTGGGCCCGGCCCAATTTTGTGAGCCCAAACTTCTCGCGTGTCCTTCTCGTACTGGGCTGGGCTGGGCTGGGATTCAACCGAACGGGGCCGTCAGCTGTTCGTTGCTGGCAACGCGAAAAAATTGGGAGGCGCGTGGCGCGCCCCCGCGGCGGCGGCGGCGGCGCGCGCTCGGCTCGCCTCTCATCGCGCGCGGCGCGCACTGGCGGCGCCGAGGAAACCCTAGCGCCGCATCCGCCTCCTATATATTGGACCTGCACCTCGCGCCGCGCCGCGCCGGAGGCAGAGACAACCACTCTTCTCCTGACACCTCTCGCCGCCGCGTCTCTCTCTCGCTCTCTCTCCGACACAGAAGAGGAGCAGCGCAATGCCGCGTTCCGCCGTCGCCGCCGGACAACTGCTCTCGCTCGGGTGGGTAACTGGGTATATGATCTTGGATGGGTTCTTGGATCGTTCGTTCTTGCTTGGTTTCTTGGATTCTGGAAGGCATTCTGCGAGGTCACTGATGACGTGATCTGTTATTGTGTGTTGCAGCCGCCGGGGCTACGCGGCGGCGGCGGCGGCAGAGTTGCAGCAGCGCGGCTCCTCGATGGCGGCGAGGATCTCGGCGGCGGAGGGTGGCGCCGGCGGTGCGGCGGCGGCGGCGGCGTCGAAGGAGATCTTCTGGATGAGGGATCCCAAGACCGGCTGCTGGGTCCCCGAGAATCGCTTCGGCGACGTCGACGCCGCCGAGCTCCGGGCGCGGCTGCTGTCGAGGAAGAACTAGGCAACCAATCTCTGATCGTAATTCGAGTAATTTCTCGATCCATGAAGGAACCAATCCTGCCAAAATTCGAGCGATCTGAACATCGTTTGAAACGGATCACACTATTCTTTTGATAGTTGATACGATTATGCCTTGTGTTGTGCCTCAAAGTTGATATGAAATTGAGTTCGAGTTCAGTTTACTAGCTACAACCATGCCGTCTTCCTGAAATTGAGTTCAACTGCGTGAAAATTGTGAAACGTAGCGTTAAACATTTGACCGTCCATGTATTTATGTTTCATATATACATACCCAAATTCATATGAATGTTAGACAAAAGATGGAAAGGCCGAAACATCTTATAATAGGAACAAATGGAGTACTGCACAAAAGAATCATGATGGTTGGTCACGAAGATTTCATAAATATATATAATTTTGGCACTTCATCCAATATGTCTCACCAAACTCGGAACAAATCATAACCAGCATGAGTAAAGACATAATTTACAAAAATTTGTGAACTATATAGATCAAATATCAAGGTACTGAATGGCATTGTCCGCAAGGACCGCAACAATACAAAATATAATTATATATGATTTAATAACTAACCTCCATATAACAATTTTCTAATCACCGGCAAAATGTAGTTCGAGATCACCAGTTGCAACTTGCAATTAAAATTTCATAATAATAAACATATAAGTAGCAAAGTGTTAGGATCTAAATTAAGCTCCATCTCTCCTGAACAAAGCAGAGGTTCTAGCTTAGACTCTGGACCTCATCTCCTTCGGCCGGCCGACAGGAGGCCTCCTCGGTGCGTCAAACTCTCCCTTCACGTCCTCCTCGTCGCCGCCGCCATCGCCATCACCGTTCTTCTTCTTCTCCGGTCGGACGGCGGCCGAGGACGTCCCCTTCTGTGCCGATATCGCCGACGCCAGCGCCACCGGCATGAGGCAGAGCCCCTTGCTCTGCAGGTACTGCATCGCCGTCGTCATGTTGTCCTCCATCAGCTTCACCACCTCCTGCTCGAACATGGCGCCGCCGTCCAGGAGCTCCGGCTGATCGCCGGGGAGCCCTCCTGTTACTGCTCCTGCTCCTGCCTGCCTTTCTCCTGATGATGATCTTGGGGACAGGAGAAACCCGGGGCTCTGCATCAACAGTTTCAGTGAGTGCATTGTGATTAACAGGATTAACCGCTTCCTGTTCTTTGACCTGATTGCATCAGCAGTGGTAAACAAGTTAGAATGTTATTGTGAATTGATTTTGTTGGTTTACCTCGGTTTGTGTTTCTGTCAGAAGAGGGACAACGGCTTCGGCCGCTCCAAGCCTGCTCATGCTAAGGACCTTCAAAGGACAGCAATGGCATTAGTACAGAAGCAGAAAATAGCTTGTCAATTGAAACAAACATAGCTGTGAAAACGAGCGGTTGTGGTGGCACGCAAACCTTGACTTGTAATTGGAGAAATTTCACATAGTCGATGATCTCATCGAGCATGGATGCCTTGTTAGTCTGCACAACAGAAAAACAAATTGTCATCTCAGATCACAAGCATCTCAACGAGGTACTACTAATCTAGCATTATCTGGTAATAAAGAAGCATGGCAGTAAGTAGACTACCTTGTTTGAGTTTGGGACAAGCTCCTGTAAATCCTTCATCCTGTCAGAGATCTTCTCCCTCCGGAGCTACAAACAGGAGATCACCACAGAGTCAAACAGTCTGCTGTAATCCGTTGTTCTACAGTTCTTCTAGCTGAACTAACCACTGGAATTCAAGCAGAACAAGAATCACATGAACCCACTCACCCTCTCTGCGATGCTGTGGGGATCGGTGGCCTGGCCTCGGCGAGCCCTGACACGAGGCTTGGGTGCTCCATTCCCAGCACTACCACTCCCATTGCCCTTTGGTAGCACCTCAGATAGGTTCACAAATGGAGCGGCGCCGCCATTTTTGCCACCGCAAGCTTCAGCAGGCTGTATGCACAACAGTTCTTGCTCAGGTTTTCAGGACATCAGATATTGCAGAGGAATTCGACTGATTTACTAAAAGATTGGCAAATCAAGATGGACAAGGAAGGACAAGAACCTGTCTATGGCTCTGTGTTGCATTGAATGATGCGAGTGGTCCAGAAATCAGCGAGGAGAGATTGAGGTGGTGCAGGCCACTGCTGAATTCCTGAAAAAAATTGCAGCTCAGGTTGTTAGGTAAACTGAAGTATCAGGGTCCGATTCTATCTCAGCCTTTAGCTAACTAATACTGTACCGTGCTGTGCTGCTTTATTTAGATAGCGATAAATCGGCACTATATATTGACTTAACATGCAGATCTACTTAGAAGAATTGAGGTCAAGCATGTCGCATAAAACAAAAAAGACAAAACATTTTATTGAGCTCATCCTCACCTTCTGGTCGATCTGCAGGCTGTCAATGCTGGGGGTAACGTGCTGCTGTCCAGAAGCAAAAGACATCAATTTTCCAGTGTTGAAATCGATGTCATCCTGCAATTCCAAGACATTAAGGGCATGTTTAGTTCTCAAACAAAATTTTTCACGCTGTCACATCGAATGTTTGGACACATACATGAAGTATTAAATGTAGACTAAAAAAACAAAACCAATTACAGAAATTGCTAGACTAATCTTTTAAGCCTAATTGCACCATGATTTGACAATGTGGTGCTACAGTAAACATTTGCTAATGACGGATTAATTAGGCTTAATAAATTCGTCTTACGGGAAAAGTTTCCTCGCGGAATTTGTAATTTGTTTCGTTATTAGACTACGTTTAATACTTCAAATGTGTATCCGTATATCCGATGTGATATGCATGGGCAAAAATTTTTGCCAACTAAACAAGCCCTAAAATGTTACCACTGGCGATGAATGATGCTTTTACATGGTAAATGTCAGATTCAATTCAGGGTTCTTGTTACTCACATTCAGATGATGCGGCTGCGACGAAGGCACAACGCCCAGCTGCTGCTGCTGCTGATGATGATGATACTTGCTCACGGTCGCCTCCTGCAGGAGATCGCCATTGAAGAGGCTGCCAAAGCCGAAGCTCTGCGGCGTTTCTTCTCCCGCGGCCATGGACGGGAGTACACCTCCCGCGGCGTAGGCCGCCGGCGGCACGTGCTGCTGCTGCTCTCCGACGAGGAAGCCGCCTCCTGCAGGCATGGCGGCGGAGTGCTCGCTCCCGCTGCTGTCGTTGGAGCTGCTGCTGCAGATGACCGGGGGGCCGCCGCTGTCGGTGAGCGGCATGGCGCACGGCTCCAGCGCGCCGAGCATCGCGGCGCCGCCGTCGTCGTCCATCGCGGCGAAGCCGAGGCCGTCGCCGTGGCGCAGCAGCTCAGCCTCCAGCAGCAGCTGCTGCTGCTCGTGCAGCCTCGCCGTACTGGGAGACGACGCGGCGGTCTTGCCGAGGAACGCGGCCTCCTCGTCGTCGACGGCACCGTAGCTCACCAAAGCGTCGGCGAGGGAGGAGACGCCGCCTGCGGCCCACGGCGAGCCAGCGAACACGGCGTCCCGCGACCACGCCGGCGACGGCGTGAAGGGGTAGGCGAAGCCGCCCATTCCGATCTCCGGTGCAATCCACTGAACAAAACAAGAACGAAAAAATTATATATATATATATATATATATATATATATATATATATTAAAAAAAAACTCCTTTCAGTGACTAGAGGAAGAACACAAAGAAGAAGGTCATTTCAAGATGCCTAAAAATGGATGGATCATGGTTGACTACAATTGAATTTGAGATCCATAGAACAACGTTTTTTTAAAAAAGAAAATGATTGCTAGAAGCAATAAATAATTTATCCATGTGGTACTCCTAAGTATAGATCATTATGCATGGCCTCATTCATGGTCAGACAGGTGATCAAGTTTAAGAGAGTGTTGAGCAAGTTGTTCTACTCAGACAGAACTACATCTTTGTTTTTTTTTCTTTCTCCGGGTAATCTGGTCTGACAAATTGCAGTCATATGGAAGATACTACTACTGTATTAGTATCATGGCCCTGGAAGGAGAAGAATCTCCAAGAACTCCTTACTATAAAAAAATTGTCTAACTCGACCGTTAATTTGCATCTGATATAAAGAAATGCATCAATCCAAAACAAGTCAAAGAGGCAGTACACAACACTGCAACCATAATGCAATGCCTTTTTTTTTTGTTGGTCTGAACCTGAAAAAAATTCAGAGCAATAAAAGAGACCAGGCCAAAACTGATTATGAAATCTACACCTCTAATCCAAGCGAGGCCAGATAGATTTGACTAATCTCCCCGTTCCAATTGGGATCAACAGCATTGTAACTAAAACGGCCGTATGTTCATCAGGAACAAGAACGGACTAATTCTGAATATCCTTGAAAAAGGGAAAAAAAACATTTTCACCGAAATAACACGAGCTAATCAATCCTACCAGTAAGGACTCCCCCAAAAAGAAGAAAAGAAACTGCCGAAAAACGCAATTCACTCCCCTACAGCTCCCGCACCCAGATCAATCCCCAAACACCGATACATGCAAGAACAGCAGCACACCGAGTGAGCTCGGAATTCCGCATGGATCCGGCCACCCAATTAGGCACACAGAATGAAGGAACTGGAAGCAGAGAGAGAGAGAGAGAGGATGAGATTGGCGATGGAGCTCACCGGGTGGGGGCGGTGACGACGGCTGACGAGGCGAAGTCGGAGGGCGACGTGCGGCGAGGAAGGAGGAGGAAGTGCTGTATATATATATATATATATAACCGCCGCGCTCCGCTTTGGGCGGGGGAGGAGAAGACCGGGAGGAGAGAGAGTATGAGGAGGGAGGGAAGGAAGACGAGGCGGCACTGCACTGCACTGCACTGCTCTCCCGTCTCTCGACTCGCGTCGCGCGCTCGCCGGTTGCGGTTGGTGCGTTTTTGTAGCTGCGCGCGTGTGTGATGACCGTGTGTGTCTGTCTGCGTCTGTTTGTGCGTGCGTGGGTGGGTGTGGCTGCTTCGCTTGTTCAGTGCGTGAGCGTGACAAGTGTGCGCAGGGGCAAAGCTCCCCAGCCGGCGAAAATTTAACTATTGATGGCGGTCTTTTAAACTCGTAGAGTTATGTCACCTAGATTTCTAAACAATTAAAATACAGATTCAGAACTCAGAACTCATCTAAGTGTATCATTTAGGTCTCAAATTGATATAGCTCCTTTAGTATCTTACGTGATGCTGATGTGGCATGCCACGTGAACGTGGCGTGTCCTTTTTTTTTTCTTCCTTTCTTCTGCTTGGAGAAGAAGGAGAAGAAAAGGAGGGGAAAAAAGAAAAGGAAATTTTTTAAATGTCCGTGTGGCATGCCACATCAGCACCACGTAGGATTCTGAAAGGACTGTGGTGATTTGGGACCTAGATAACACACTATGACAAGTTCTAGGATTTGTATATGTATTTTAAGAGTTTAGGGATTTAGATGACACATCCCTATAAATTTAATGACCGCCCATGCACTTCACTCTTTAACTATTTATCCCTTTACTTGTCTTTTTTTAATAAATGACTGTCGTACCCTTCTAAACATATGTTTGGTTATTCATCTTATTTAAAAATTTTATGTAAATGTATAAAATATACTCCCTCCATCCTAAAATATAACAACTTCTAGCTCATAAGGTTTATCCCAAAATATAAAACTTATTCACCAACATTTTCTTCTCAACCTATCACAACATTCTCCCATTTATTTTTATATACTTTCTTAATACCCTAGTTAAACCTTAAAAATCCTTATATTCTGGGACTGATTGAGTAAATCATGCTTAAAGTAATTTGAGTGATAAAACAACTCACAACAAAATAAATTATAATTACGTAGTTTTTTCAATAAGACAAATGGTCAAACGTGTGGCAAAATGTTAACGGTGTCATCTATTAAAAAACAGAGTTAATATAACAATTAGTAATAATTTATCATCTGGACCCATACGTCATTGAGAAACAGAGATAACAAGTAGTTAAGTGTCCCGCTGGGCGGCCTTGGTGAGTTGGTGGTGATTATATACTCATCCGGACCAAGAGGAAGCAACCAAGCGATCAGGTGATACCACCCGATCTGCTTCTCTTTTTTCCTTTTCTTTGCCTTTTTATGCGTCACATATTTATCCTATCTAGGAGTGGATGGTGGACAGTAAGCTCGTGGCTCATTAGCTCGCTCGCCTCGTGACGAGCTCGGCTCGGCTCGTTTGATTTCCTAACGAGCCAAGCTAGCATTTTATCTCGTTAGAGATAACGAGCCAGCTCGAGATGACTCACGAGCGAGTCTTAACGAGTCAGGACTGCAATAGACAACAGCAAGGGCCCAGCCCAAAACAACAGCTGAACAACAAAACCCTAGGCGCACCGCATTTCTCTCTGTCTCTAGCGAATCGTCCAATCCTCGATCCCCTTCACCATGCCCTTCCGTTGTTCCGCATCCGCAGTGCGCCGCCGCCAGTCGCTAGGGCCGCCGCCGTCGCCGCCGCACTTCCCCAGCCACGTGCAGTGGCTCGGCGTCGCCAGCCGCTAGGGCCATTGCCGTCACTGCCGCCGCACTTCCCCGATGTGCCGTGGCTCGGTGCCGCCAGCCGCTAGGGCCGCCGCCGCACTTCCCCAACCAGCGCCAGCTGCAAGAAGGCGTCACAGGCTCGAGACCACTGTCACCCTTGCTATCTTGTTGGTTTGGCTCGCGAGCCTAACGAGCTAGCTCGAGCTTTCAAACGAGCCGAGCCGAGCTGGGTTTCTAGCTCATTAGGATAATGAGTCAAGCCGAGCCAGCTCGTTATCCTAACGAGCTAGATCGAGCCGAGCCGAGCCGGTTCGCTATCCACCCCTAATCCTATCGATTAACTTAGCCACAATAAACGCTAAACCGTACTACTCCCTTCGAGCTGATACTACTTGTCGTTTTAGATAAGGGTGAGGTCAAACTTTAGAATTTTTTATTATGAATTATTTTAAAAGTTTTTATCTTTTAAATATGGTGACTACATGTATAGATTAGTCTTAAAAGGTATTATTAGTTAAAAACTATCTAGTTAAATAACAAGTATGTCCTATAACCCGGGACAGATGGAGTATTACTTTAGCCAATTACACTGAACTACTGTAACATTTTGTTTTCGTTCCCAATAGGTCCATTTCTGGGAGATCTTTTTTTTTATTACACGCATAGCTACCGCTAAAAAGGAGAGATGTATACCGATTCTATACGGGCGATTCGATAAGCTGGTGATCGTTTGATTCTCTCACATCTGGACAGCAGGGATTCACAAAGAAAAGGTTCACAAGAACTCCAGACAGCGACGTCACACATAAGACATAACCACTTTAACCTTTTTTCCAGTTCTGAGATTAGCAGCATCAGCGTCGCCTAACTCTATCCGCGCATGCGGTTTTAATTAGGTTTAGCCGAAAGTTGGATTAACGTAAATCCGATTGCAATTAGCTAGTACGGCAGTAGGGCAGATTCGTCGGGTTAAGAGCAAGTTTAATAGTGTAGGCAATTACTAGCTTTAATTCATCTATAGCCAATTTAATAGTCAATTTATACAATATTTGCTTACTATACTATTAGTATATGGTCATATCTGTCATACACATATTGTGTCTTGAAGTCTGTGTTACAGCTGGCTATAAATCTATAGTCCGCTGCTCTTCTCTCTTATCTTTTATTATATTAAAATATATTTATAACCAGCTAATAATCTACTATTGTACATGTTTTAATAGTTTAACGAAGGAAAAGATAACGATAACTAGAGCGCGGCTGCCGATCCCGAAAACGATTTTATTCTGAAGGGTAGATTCTTTTTTCTTGTGTGCTCCGGAGTCCGGAGAAGGCGCGGCGTGCGCGGCGAATGACCAAACTGCCCCTGCATGGTAACCGTTGGTAATGATGGCGTGTGGCTGGGCCACCTTTGCCCGGTCAATGCACTTGCAGTCTTCCTCCATGGCCGGCCGGACACGGGGGTTAATTCTTTGGTGTTCAAGTCATGTGATGTGATTAGGAAAAAGAAATGAAAAAGATTGATATATTACACGTGTATATATATATATTTGAGTCTAATACTTCGTTTTTGGCTTTTTTATTAACAAATTCACTTCTCAGGTTGATATTACCTTATATTTCTCGTGATGAATTTTACCTGAGTTTTTAAGAGTGCATATTAGCTTTGACATCATGCATATACCATTTACACACCCTCAACTGCGAACCATTCCCTCCGTATAAAAAAAACTCACTTTTAGGTTTGAATCTGCATGTATGTCCATATTTAAACTCTAGAGTAATGGATTTATCTTTTCGCTTATGCTTATATTTATCAGTCAAAATTTAAATTTTTAACCTTAAATTTGAAGTAAATTTTAAGGTTTTTTTTATCGAAGTTTATTTTTCAGCCTTTGTTTTTACATCGCTAAGAACAAATACATAAAAGTTTTATTCACAAATTGCTTTTTATTTGTAAATATACCGTTTTGCTTATTCCGCTGATAAGTCAAACAATCTCTGATATGAACTCTTGGACAGAAAGGAGCTAGAAGATATGTGAAGATGGTCTCCTTAGACGATGGATAATAGTGTGATGTTAGTATTACGTAGAAACATGTGGAAGAAAGGGAAATATGATAGAGAAGATTATTGGTATCTGAATTAACAGGTGGTTAAATGTAGAGTTTAGCACCATTAGTAGTTTTGTACTGTTGTTCTATAGAATCGAAAAGAAGAACTGACCTCGAAACTCCTGTGGTCCGCGGACCGCTCATGTAAAAAAAGAACAGAGCAAGTAGTTATATTGAAACAGTAGTTATTTCTGCGAAAGCTTGACTTGGATGTGTGACCATTTTCAGATCACAAAAATCTGACTAATCTCGGTTAGGATTGGCAGAAAGATGCACCTAGACAAGACTTTTATTACTCTAGCAGTGTATTACTGTTAAGAAATAATAGGCAAACAAACGATAAAAAACAATAGATCAATCACAGAAGACACGAGATTTAATGTGGAAAACCCTCTCAAAGCAGGAGAGAAAATACCACTGGTGCCAGCCAGTAAAATATCTTCACTATATCGGGATGAGGTTACAACGCCGCACGACGGCTTACAAAAGGTGTGTGTATAGTGGAACCCTAAAAGGTACACCCCCGGGCGTCCCCAGGTACACAACCCAATGGGTCAGCTTCAGCCTCCGCTCCACTACGACAGAAGCTGGCCTTTATTAAGTGCAAATGAATTTGGATCACAACTCAACAAACTCCACCTTGAGACAAATTCCTTCTTGTAGCATGAATCAATCCTTCACCCTGAACACAACAAAGACAAAAAAAAAACATTTTCGGCGCCAAACAGCCTCTTGGGTAAAACCACTATACCAACTAGCTTGAGCAAAGTTCAAACTTAGCAACAGGAACAGACTTTGTCATCATATCAGCAGGATTATCATGAGTGCTTATCTTCATACCTTTAGCTTACCTTGCGCGACTACATCACGAACATAATGGTACTTGATATCAATGTGCTTTATCCTCTCATGAAACATATGATCTTTAGTGAGGTATATGGCACTTTAACTGTTACAAAACAAGTTAATGCAAGAATCAACTCCACAAAGCTCAGTAAACAATCCTTTCAGCTAAATGGATTCTTTATATGCTTCAGCAATAGCCATGTATTTTATTTCAGTGGTAGACTGGGCAACAATATGCTGCAATGTTGCCTTCCAACTTACAGCACAACTACCAATAGTAAACACATAACCTGTGAGTGACCTTCTCTTATCCAAATCAGCAGCAAAATCTGAATCCACATATCCAACAAGCCCCTTATTAGTCCTGTCAAACTTCAAGCAAGCATCAGCTGTGCCTCTGAGGTACCTGAAAATCCACTGAACAGCTTTCCAGTCTTCTTTACCAGGATTAGCCATGTATCTACTAACCAAACTCATAGCATGAGATAAATCCGACGGGAGCAAACCATGGCATACATCAAAGAACCAACAACACTAGAATATAGAACTCTAGATATGTATTCTACATCCTCATCAGTACTAGCACATTGCAAAGCTGATAATTTAAAATAAGGTGCAATAGGAGTACTAACAGGCTTTGCATCATGCATGTTAAAATGCTGAAAAACCTTTTTAATGTAACTTTGTTGACTAAGAAATAACAAACCTGAATTTTTGTCTCTAGTAATTTCCATTCCTAGAATTTTCTTAGCAGCACCAAGATCCTTCATATCAAACTCACTGCTCAACTGTTTCTTCAATGTAGTGATTTCTTCCTAGCTCTTGGCAACAATCAGCATATCATCAACATATAACAGCAAGTATATAGGTGATCCATTAACAAATTTAATATATACACACAGCTATCAAATTCAGACCTCTTAAAGCCATGTGACAATATAAATGAATCAAACTTTTTATACCATTGACGAGGAGACTGTTTCAAACCATATAAGGATCCTTTCAACTTGCAAACATAATCCTCCTTACCAGGTACTATGAACCCTTCTGACTGGTCCATGTATATCTCCTCTTCAAGCTCTCCATGTAAAAATATTATCTTAACATCTAACGGCTCTAGCTCAAGATCATGCATAGCAACAATACTGAAAAATGTGCGAATTGAACTATGCTTTACAACTGGAGAGAACACATCATTATAATCAACACCAGCAATTTGGCTGAAACCTTTTGCTACTAACCTTGCCTTAAACCTTGGATGCTCGCTTAGAGATAAACCCTCATTTCTTTTGAAGATCCATTTACAACGGACATGCTTCTTCTATTTTGGCAAGTGCACAAGCTCCCATGTGCCATTCTTCTCAAGAGACTGCATCTCCTCCTGCATAGCTGAGATCCACTTCTCACGATCACCAGAAACACCAGCTTCAGTGTATGTAGCCGGCTCAAGAGTATTCTCCACTTGTTCGGCACAACTAAAAGCATAATAAACCATATCATATTCCTCAATAAGACGGACAGGAGCTCCACGACTCCTCTTTGTTATGTGATGTGCAATAGGTTCATCTTGTGGCTGCAAAACAGGAGGTGAGTGTTGAACTGTATCATGAACATCATTATCAACAATTTCAGTTTCCTGATCATCCACGTGCTCTCGCCCAAGCCTACCGGCGACGGGCCTCTGCTCCACTATGGCAGAAGCTGGCCTTTATTAAGTGCAAATGAATTTGGATCACAACTCAACAATTACCAGGATCAGTACCATTACTAGGATCATACCCCTCCGGATCAAATGGCATATGAACTCCCTCTATTTCATATTGTAAGTCGTTGGACCTTTTCTCAGTCCAACTTCTTTAGATTTGATCAAATTTATAAAAAATATGCTACCTCCGTTTTTTATAAATGACACCGTTGACTTTTTCTCACATGTTTGACTATTCGTCTTATTCAAAAAATTTACGTAATTATAATTTATTTTATGAGTTGTTTTATCATTCATAGTACTTTAAATGTGATTTATATCTTATACATTTGTATAAAATTTTTGAATAAGACGAATGGTCAAGCATGAAAGAAAAAGTCAACGACGTCATCTATTAAAAAATAGAGGAAGTATATATTAGGATTTTCAACACAAAACAAACATATTATCAAAATATATGCAATGTTAGATTTGATAAAACTAATTTGGTATTTTTATATTGCTAATTTTTTTTATGAATTTGATCAAACTAACATAATACGAAACGGATGAAGCACTTTATAGTTTCTCATAGATGATTTCAATCGATGGGGACGTAGCTCATATGGTAGAGCGCTCGCTTCGCATGCGAGAGGCACGGGGTTCGATTCCCCGCGTCTCCATTTTTTTCCCCACTTTCATTCCGACTTTTAATCATATTTACTAGCTGTTTTTTACACTTACATGATGCACACATTCATAATGTTTTGGTACTACGTCATTATTAAAGTTACACTCATAATGTTTTTGTACTATGCCAATATAAAAGGTTATTAGAAATACATGCATGCAAGCTAGGTCAAATCTATCTATTATATCATTAATAGGAATAGAAAAAGGAGCATCTACGTTCGCTCTCATGGCCGAGAAATTCTCACATTAATCGGAGAAAAAGAAAAAACAGAGTCCATATAGAAATACAATTTAGAAATAGCTGAAATTCGAAATTAAAAAATAAGGAATATTAGAAGAGGAGACTAGAGTCTATATAGAAATACAATTTAGAAATAGCTGAAATTCAGAATTTAAAAATAAGGAATATTAGAAGAGGAGACTAGAGTCCATATATAAATACAATTTAGAAATAGCTGAAATTCAGAATTTAAAAATAAGGAATATTAGAAGAGGAGACTAGAGTCCATATATAAATACAATTTAGAAATAGTTGAAATTCGGAATTAAAAAATAAGGAATATTAGAAGTAGAGTATAGAGTCCATATAGAAATACAATTAAGAAAAGAAAATAAAAATTCGTAATTAAAAAATAAGAAATATTAGAAGTAGAGTATAGAGTCCATATAGGAATTTAAAACTAAGTAAAATTCAGAATAAACATAATAAAATAAAAGGTAGTGTTTAGAGTCCGTATAAAAATACAATTTACAAATAACTAAAATTTGAAATTAAAAAAACATGGGAAGAAGAGTTTAAAGTCAATATAGGAATACAATTTAGAAGTAACTGAAATTTGAAATTAAAAATTAAAGAATATTGAAAGATGAGTTTAGAGTCCACATAGAAATACAATTAGAAATAATAAAAAATCAGAATTAAAAAAAGAAATATTAAAAGACAAGTCTAGAGTCCATATAGAAATATATATAATTTACAAATAACTAAAATTTGATATTAAAAATAATTAATAACTAACACGTATATAAAATACAATATGAATATTACACATTAGTAGTTTTGTAAAGTTATTGTAAAATTTAAAATTATGTTGTCATTGTAATATATTTTAATAATATAATGAGAAAATATATATGCTATTATATGAGAGAAAATATAATGATGCTAGCCGCGCAATCTGCGCGGGCCATCATGCTAGTTATACTTAAATGATGCTCATATTCCTTATTATGTTTAGGTCACTCTTTTTCATATATCGGAATAGAATGGACAAAGAAAGGTGATGTGGTATTCTCTGTTATTTGCTTTTTCAATCAAACTTGCATACAATGATACCAACTTTGGCTGTTACTTGCATTAATCTAAACTACCATTTGACTGCAAATCTGCATTCTCTCTCTCTCTCTCTTCGTTCATAGCACAAACGGTTGCATACACCTTTCTGAGTCTGCTGCTAGATCGCATATGCTGCTCCTACCACAGGCTCGCCATTCGCCATGGCGACAACAAAAGCATCACTTGCCCTTCTGATCTCGTCTGTTGTCGTAACCAGGTCACCAGCACGATCTGCATCAAGTGCGCGAGGATTAGATTAGCATCTGGATCTACTGGTTTATCCCAGCATAAGCATCTCAAGTGTTACATGCTTTACACTACATCCATTCCATGACGCCTGTAAAGCATACTTGGGTGCCCACAATTGTTCTGTCAGGCTCAGCTGCTCGAAGTCTGAAGGAATCTTGCACATTTCTGCAGAAAGCTTACCCTGTGAAGAGAGCACAGGCAACATAACCAGCTCAAATTCCACCATGACAAGTTAACAGTAAGGTACAATTCGGGATTCATATAAGTCGTAACAAAATTCCACCAATTCACCATGCCAAGTTAACGGCAAGGTACAATTCAGGAACCATAAGTCATAACAGAAGCTACTCTGAATTACTCAGCAAGCGAAAAATCGAACACTGATGGGGCACGTCTCCACACTATCAAGGTTCAGGACAATGCTCCTGATTTCCAAGAACAGACACAGAATAAGGCTAACATTTTGTCACATAACAATCAGGTTACAATCGATGCAGTATTCGCCAGGACATGGCAGTTGCATCATAGCTCAGACCACAGCATCACAAGCATGAACAAGCAGCTACAAGTTACACAACACCCACAGGCACAGGCACATAACCATATAACTATGCTACCCCTTGTTGCTAATACCGACGCTAACTAGTACTCAGATGTCATTTGTTGCTCCCAGAACAGCCTAAATGGGAGGTAATTCTAACCACCAGGGCAATGCCAATTAACTGATACAATCATACAAATCGAATTCTTGAATCTTTCAAGATGTAAACCGGGTGCCATTACTGGCTCTCGTCCTCCTCGTCCTCTGCCTCATCCTCGTCTTCTTTGTTGTCGGTATCGCTACCATTCCCGGTACCTCTGGCGGCTTCGGCGGCATTGTTCTCGTTGTACTGGTGTTGTGGCTGCTGCGGGGCAGCATGGCAGTGCCTGCTGTCCTGGAAGCGGTACCGAACATGGTGATTGCTGCTGGTACCGACATCAGTGGCCATAGCGGTTCTCCTCGTGCCATTGCCATCGGCAGCAGCAATGGCGGTGGCAACGGCACCCACTGCGGCAGCGGCAGCAGAGGCGCCAGCATTGTTGGCCTTGGAGAGCTCCATCTGCATCTTGAGAAAGAACTGGACGCGCTGGTCCTCCAGCTCGCGGGCGGCCTCTAGGCGGTCGCGCTCCATCCGGAGCTCCTGCTCCCGCTTCGCCAACTCCACGCGCTCATACACCTCGCCGAACCGGCGGATCGCCTGCGCCAGCTCGCGCAGGCCCTGCGTGCGGTGGCCGCTGTCCGCACCGTTCACCTCCTCCTCCACCTCGCGCCGCCTCTTGCCATTCGCGGCCGCCATAGGTGGCTCCGGCGGGAACCCGTCGGACGACTCCGACGACGCTGATACCTGGGGAGGCGACGGCATCCTCCGCTTCACCCCGGAAGAGGGGAGGAACTGCGTGCGCGTGCGCTGCGGGAAGTTGACGCGCGGCGCCATGGGCGCGGTGCTCCGGGCGGCGGTAGCGGCGGCGGCGGAGTTGGAGCCGGAATTGCCCGCGCCCGCGGCCCCGGCGGCGGCGGCGGCGGGGTAGGCGCCCGCGGGCTTGTGCACGGGGGCGAGGAGGGTGTCGAGGCGGTGGAAGTAGGGCCAGGAGGAGTCCGGCTTGGCCTTCTCGACCTTGTACTTCTTCTTGAGCGTGTCGATGCGGTTCTTGCACTGGACGTCGGACTTGGGCTGCTTGGAGTAGCCGTCGCGGGAGGAGACGACCTCGGCGACCTCCTGCCACTGCGGGTGGCGGAGGCTGCCGCGCCCCAGCGCGACGAACCGCTCCCCCCAGGCGTCGATCAGCGTGGAGGTGGCGCCGTCGCTCCAGGCGTCCTCCCTTCCCCCTCCCCCTCCCCCACCTCCAGAGGAGGAGCCGGGCTTGGGGATGGGGATGGCGAGGGCGAGGTGGCCCGGGGGCGCCGCGGCGACGGTGACGGGGTCGGCAACGGGGAGTGGGGACGGGGAGCGGGACGGGGAGAGCGAGGACGACGGGGACGCGCCGCCGTCGTCGTCCATGGCCGCAGATCTGGCGGCCGCGCCGGCGGCGGCGGGGGGGAGGGGGAGGCGAGGGTTTGGGGATATTTCCGGGATGGATGGATGGACGGAACGGAGAAGGGGAGGAATCCGGAAATCAAAAATGCTGTGGTGGCCGCCGTCGCGTCCGGCGGCGAGGGGACGGGACTGCAACGGAGACGGCGGGCTGTGTTGGGCCGGACGGAATTAATGGGGGAGGGGCCTGTCCGGGAGGCCCGTTAATCTCCGGCCCGCTTGCGTGGGTGCGCCGAGTTTTTTTTTGCAGGGATGGACCGGTGATATTTTTTTGGGGAAAAAGTACACCCAAGGTCCCTCTACTTGTCACCGAGTCACAGAATCGTCCCTCAGCCACAAACCAGATATATGACATCCCTCAACTTATAAAAACCGTTTACTCTAGATCCTTCAATGGTTTTGACCCTAATTTCATTCTACGTGGCTGCTGAGTCAGTGTAGAACCCACATGTTAGCATGCCACATCAGCACCCTCACTCTTCCCCCTCCACTCCCTTCATCCTCCTCTCTCTCTCTTCTCTTCTCTTCTCTGGCAAGCCAGTCGGCGAGGCAGGAGAGGAGGAGGCGGCGGGCGATGAAGCGGCAGCGGCTGCGATGCGACAGAAGGTGAGGGCGAGCGCTGTGTCGCCGCCGCCGGCGAAGTGGGCGCCACAGCGTTGGGCTCGGAGGCAGAGGCAGAGGTGGGGGCTAGGAGCCGTGGCGGTAGCCGCGGAGGTGGAGGCGAGGCCCGGCACCATGGAGCTGGACTCGGAGCCCTGGCTTGCTCCCGCACCACATCTCCCTTTCTCCGCGTGCTCGCTATCAACCTCCTCACCTCCTTCCTCTTCGCGCGCGCTCGCCGCCAGACAGAGGCATCGTCATCGTTGTTGGGCGGCTTGTCATTGTTTCACTGCTATATCCAACAATGTCAGTTGTCCAATTTTCTCTTCTCTCTAGGGCATCTGGCGACGGACGGGGGTAGCAGCCAGTGACGGGAAAGGGAAGACACGTGTGGCATGACCGCATGACCACAGATGCCGCGACGGCCTAGGTGACGGCGAGCACACACTTCGTGAGGTACGCGTAGCGACTCCATCCAGTACATTGCTGCGACAACAATATCAATGGAGGCTCCCGTTAGGAGCACGCAACGGTAGGGGACCTTGGAGCCCTCAGCCGTGAGCGCGTCGACGATGAACGGCACCAATACAAGCAAAAATAGAAGCAAAGGGACAAAAACAATTCCTATTTATTTTTCAAAAATAGAAGATAGTGGCATTTGGACGAAGTCCGTAGTTGAGAGTGGCATTCTAATTAACTCTAAATGAGTGAATTGCACTTTGTGCCATATTTTATTACCAAAGTTTCACTTTGGACCACCCTGTACACAATCCTTTCACTTTGGACTAGGTAACTTTACCTTTGTTGTATAATGGACCACCCTAATTCTTTTCGCTAGTGATGTCTAGCGTTTCTTTTGACAAATGTATGGCATGCATATAGGTACAAAAGTTTGCTGGCACGTCGTTAACAACTTCATCAAAGTCATCGAAGAATTGAAAATGTGGTTTGGGGTGGTTTATTGTACAATAAAGATAAAGTTACCTAATCCGATCCAAAGTGAAAAGATTAGATAAAAAGTAGTCTAAAGTGAACCTTTAACCATAAAACATGGCCCAAAGTGAAATTAACTCCTAAATGTTAATGTTATAAATACGAAGTGGTATTTTTGGCAAAGTTTCGATGAAAATAGAATGCCAATTTTGTCCAAATTTCCCAGGTACCGCGGTAAGTGAAACCTGCTCCGTGATAACCGCGATAAAACCAAAAGCGAATTAACACTCGTGCATCAGCACAAGGAACACGGGAGACCCACCGCTAAGCTCCCTCCCTCCTCTCTCCGGCGCTTCCGCCTCGCCGGAGATGGGCGGCGCCACCTCGCCGGCGGCGCCCTGTCTCTCCGTCTGCTTGCTGCCCCTCCTCTTCCTCTTCCTCCACGGGTAAGCCCCAAGCTCTCACCGCTCTTGGTTTATAGCTGCTGTGCTGTACTGTACCGTACTGAACCTCGGTGCCTAGGTGTCTTGGGTTTATAGCGTCTTAGCATGCGTTGGCCGTAGAAATGCTAGATTTGGTGTGTTATTGACGCCTGCTTCGACAGATCTGAGCAAGATTTCGTCCTAATCCCCCCTGCTCACATCATCAACCCACTCTGGATCGCTCTCTCGCTTAATTAGGATCCCTTGGATACATACAGCGACTGTAGTTTGTAAACATGGGTAATTTTAACTAAGCGTGATTGAGATGAAATGAAACGTCTTTGTTCAGGGATGCTTTGTTTTTTGGTGGTGCATTCAGCTGAAGAAGTGGCTGTACAATGTTAAGGTCTTCTCATGTGACATTTTGATGTACAATGTTGTTTTGGCGTTTGATTTTGGGCAGATGCTGGAGCTGCGTAGCTATCGAGAGGGAGAGGACGCTGGCGATGATCAAACCGGACGGTCTATCTGGTAATTACACGGAGAGAATCAAGGAGGTCATCTTGGAGTCTGGATTTGATATCGTCAAAGAGGCAGTGGTTCAGCTGGATGCGGAGAGGGCATCACTCTTCTATGCGGAGCATTCTGGGAGAAGCTTCTTTGACAGTCTGGTGAAGTATATGACAAGGTACCTTTGTCGAAAGACTTGTGTATTTTGTTCCTTGCTTAAGTCCTCACAGTCACAGGCTATAGTGAATCGTTTCGACAGTGAGGCCATATCAACATGAAAAGTATGGAATGCATGACATGTGATACTTTTTTTTAAGAAACTATTTAGCTCGCTAAGTATGAGATTTGAATTTGTGGGCAGAGGAAGGAGCATGTGTGGTACCATATTTTCAAATTATTAGGAGTTTATCATTTTTGAAATTTGGCTGTTAGGGCAGCTAGATATCATGTTTAGACAACTATTCGATACATGAATCTATATCCGGACATTCAGAAATTCTAAGCTGCTTGACAGGTAGAAAGCTAGTACTAGACACATACGTTGTAGACAGTGAGAACGCAAGTGCAGATGTAGAAATTTATTCCTCCGTAATCAAGAACCCCACTGAATATTGTATAATTTATCCTAAAATCAGTTTATGGTACCTCTTAGGTCATGGTACTAAGATGTACTCCTCCCAATGCATGTTCTTGAGCTAAATCAGTTCATTGGGAATCTTCAAAATGTTAGCAACTTCTGGGAATACAAACACAGTAAGCTGGTTTTCCTATTTGCGAATGCAATGCAGTTTTTTCTTTCAGGTGGCAATTTTTTGCTGCAGAAAGCCCCAACAAATTTAGTTTTACTGAACAATTTAGAATGCTAATTTAACAAGTTCTCTAAAGGATTGGCAAACATGGCTGAACATTTTTTTTTTTGTTTGCTGAATATATCAATCTTCATTCTTCTTTTTTTTTTAATATGGATTGGACTCCTTTATCCTGATCTGCCTCAATGATACTGAACAGTTTTGACATGCTTGTTTATGTTGTTCTTTAGTGGTCCAGTTCTCGTTATGATTCTGGAAAGGCCCGATGCCATCTCACACTGGCGAGTTTTGATTGGGCCAACTGATGCAAGAAAGGCTAAAATTTCTAATCCTAATAGGTAAAGAACAATATCATTTCTGTATGATCATTGGTTACTCCGATACCACATGGGAAACAGCTATGAGCTTGTTCCCCAAGAAACTTACTGCACTTTGTCAACACCCACATACTTGTGACAATCTCCGTGACAATACTCTGTTTGGGCCTGATTATGTTTTCTTGGTTTTGCTACTGTATTTTCACTCTAGTCACAAGAGTTATGCTTCCTTCCATTTCAGCATTAGAGCAATGTGTGGAGTGGACTCAGAGAAAAACTGTGTGCATGGTTCAGATTCACCACAATCTGCAGCCAGAGAAATTTCATTTTTCTTTGGAGATGTTAGATCTGGTTGGTTTCTTCATCTTGTTCCATAAATTTTGAAGAGCCACCAAATTTTCTAACCCTGTTCTGTGATAATGCAGATACTGTGGAACATGATGAGCTGTAGTCCTGTAGAGGATAGACAGGTGTATATGCGACATGTCGTAAGGCAGATAATTTTGCAGTTTATTTGTTCCATACAGTGCCTAACACCTGGTTGGACGATGGGATTTGGATCCAATGGAAATATCTGAACATCAGATGAGATGGAGTTCAAGGAAATTAACTTTAGATTGTGTATGGTAAAGACCAGGACGGTGCATGCCAGAAACACCACTGAAGCACTCATCCAAATGTAATCGTTTTTGTACTGGTGCAAACTTGTGCATCCAATCTTCTGTAAGCCTCGTATATTTAGCCTAGCCTGTGCTGTTCATTTCAAAGAAATCGTTAGCCATCACGAACTACCCCTGTTTCTGATCGTTAGCAATGATAGTGATCTAAAATTTTGCTGATCATTGACCCTAAAATAAAATTCTGAACAGTAATTTCAGAATCCAGAGAGCCCCTATGAGGCTATGACCTATCTGAAGTTCTGAACCGGGGAGATTTCACGTGAGTTTTGTTTCTTGTAAATCATGGACAAAACTAACAGCAGAATTGAGTTTCTTCTCTCTGCTTTGCAATTACACTCCTTTGTTGAATCTTGAATCCTGAATGAAAAATGAAAGTTGACAGATATATTCGTTGCTCTGCGCTTCTCATGCTAATAGCTTCACTTTGCTGAAATAACTAGGTAAGCACTTGACACTAGCCTTGCAACTTTGGTTGCTGCATGTCTGAAGATTTGAACAAGCAACATTTGCCGCCCTCCAGATGATTTTAGCATACAAATATGATCGTCACTAGCAATTCAATATGGCAAAGAAATTTAATAATATCCCTAGCCCTGCATCTGACTAAAGTCGTTCAGATTTATGCACAAAAAACGAAAAAAACTAGGGCTCCCATTGGATGGCCTAATAAGCCAAAGAAAAAGCTAAATTTTAATTTTTTATACTTAATTTTGAGATATTTTCGACGTAGTTTCTTTTTCAATATTGACTTTTAAATCACCAAGAATACATATATAAAAGTTTTACCTACAAATTTATTTTTATTCCTTGGCTTATTAGGGAAAAAGCTAAACAATGGACCTTAGAAATTGTCCATACAATTACCACACACTAGAATTATATTGAAAAATACATGCCACAAATTGATAACGGTAACATCTGTACACTTTGGGGTTTACCAGTGAAGCCACAAAGGCCGAGTTTAGTTCCCAGCTTTTTCTTCAAACTTTCAACTTTTTCATCACATCAAAATTTTCCTACACGCATAAACTTTCAACTTTTTTCTTCAAACTTTCAATTTTGGCGCGGTACTAAACACACCCAAAGACTGCAAATATCTAAGGCATATTTGATGTTTGATTTTAATGAAACTAATTTGGTGTTGTAGATATTAGTGTACTATACTCTATATTCTCAAAATTATAAAAGTTTAACACATTATACACTTACATACTTAGTCAAAGTTATAAAGATTAACTTTATTATGATAAAACTGAACTACCTACATGTAGAACGGGGAATACCAATCAGTACAAGCTCCATGCTGAAACCAAACAACAACAGCAACACAACCCTCCCCCCCCCCCCCCCAACACACACAAAAAAAAAGAAAAATAAAATAAAAGAAAAATCCATGGTATGCAATCTAGTTGAATAAATTGGATTATATTTTCGCCCTTATTTTTTTAACTAATTGACATATACGGCTTGTTTGACAACTTACAACTTGAGGGAAGATGATTAAGAGTTTAGACAGGGGAATGAGAATTCGATGTGCAGTTCCAATCTCTTGTTTGGTAGAGATAAATTGATAGAGAGTTTAGTTAGAGACCGAACTTGAACGAAAATGAATGGTTAAGATTTGTTTAGGTAAAGTAAAGGAGAAATTCCATCCTAATTACCACCACACCACCTAGGTATTGAAAAGTAGGGAGTTACTCCCTCAATTCCCTATCCCACCCCAACAAAACTCCTATGTTTCTCAACCAAACAGAACCGTTAATAGTCACATCCCTTTAAACTCCTAATCCCTTAAAAACAAACCTCCCCCACCAAACAGCCCTATATATGCCACTTCTCCGTTAAATTTGTGGGCGCCTTTATCACTATATGGCATACGTCACGGAGCGCAGGCACGCCAAAAGGCAAGATGTACTCCGTTGAATTTCTCTGCCATTTGCACGAACACTTTTTGAGAAATTCGATGGTGTGATGTAATTGTACTAGGAAGCTAGTAGTACGTACACGACGGAAATTAGAAATCAAACCAATGATGGATGGATGCATGTGGATCCAATTCGGCAATTAAAAAGAAATGGAGAAGAATATTGAAACTGATGAAAGTACTTCTCCATTTCCTTGATTCAAAAAGAAGAACAAAAAAAAACAGACTGAACAAATTAAGAAGAGATTTCTTACGCATGCAAATTATGCCTGATGAGGCTCACATATATATATATATATATATATATATATATATATATATATATATATGCTTAATTAATATTTTTGTTCTTAGTGGCACCTGATTAATTAATAGTAAGTTGCATGGAATCAGGAGATGATCACTTGCTGGATGGACATGATGGCCTCATGGAGTTGCGACGATGACGACGACGACATGTGCTCGCCGCGTCGCCGGCCGGAGCTTGGTGATCACAGGAAGGGCCGGACGTTGGGCATGAACGGCACGGCGAAGAGGGGCTCGGCGCCGATCCACGGCCGGCACGACGGCGACGGCGACGACGGCGGCGGCGGGCCCGCGAGCGCCGCCACGTAGATCGCCGCCAGCCTGCGCACGGCGCGCCGGAGCCACCTCGCCGCCAGCCACCTCAGCCGCAGCCGCCGCAGGAACCCGCGCCGCCGTCGCCCACCACCACCGCCACCGCCACCACCGCCGCCTAGCCTGACGACCGGGAGCTTCCGGCGCCGCCCGCGCCCGCGCCACACCAGCCTGTGCCCACCGCCGCCGCGACGCTGCTCGCCGACGTCGACGTCGACGTCGCATGGCGCGCCGCCACCCATCCTCCTCTCCTCTTGATCTCCTCGCGCCCACGAGAAGAGGTCACTGACGCCCTTAAATCCTCGTGGAGAGAGAGAGAGAGAGAGAGATATGAGAGCTAATTAAGCTGCCTGCTTTTTTTGCGTCATGCAAAGCTAACCTCATTTGGGAGGGGAGGAGGAGGGGAGGAGGTACTCGTCTACTTCTACAGTAGTATATCTCGCTAACTTTAATTCAAGTTCAAGATACGTACAGAGTTAGCTCTAGCCTCTACTCCCTCCGTCCAAAAAAAAGAAGACAAACCCTGGTTTCCGTGCCCAACATTTAACCGTTCGTCTTATTTAAAAAAATTATAAAAAAAATTTAAAAGACAAGTCACGCATAAAATATTAATCATGTTTTATCATCTAACAATAATGAAAATACGAATTATAAAAAAATTCCATATAAGACGGACAGTCAAAGTTGGACACGGAGACCTATAGTTTGCCTTTTTTTTGGACAGAGGGAGTAGCTAGCTAGCTACCTGTGCTTGCATCATCGTCTTCGATGAAGTTCGATCGTCTTCAATTCGTCCTCCTTCGATCGGTTTCATGTTTGACTTGCAGCGCCCCGGGCCGCCCGGCCACGCTCCTCTCCATGGTTTACCTTTTCAGTTCCACGCCAAAATTAAAAGTTTGAAATAAATTAAAACGATGTGACGGAAAAATTGAAAGTTTGTGTGTGTAGGAAAATTCGATGTGACAGAAAAGTTGGAAGTTCGAAGAAAAAAGTTAAAATCTAAACAAAGCTTTAGCTGATTTGATCGAAGGTCCCGAATTTTTTAACAAAATTTAGTTAAATTTAAATAAATATTACCAAAATTCACGAAAAATTAAACAAATTGGCTGAAATAATGTCGTATCGGAGAGGGTTCAAAATATCCAAAATTTTCAACCCTGCTCCTCTCGCCATTATCCACCTTTTTAGGTTGTATTCGATTGTTGATACCTTTTGTACGTAAAATGGAGCGATTCATTAACGTATAATTAAGTATTAGCTGATGATTTTTTTTATAAATAGATTAATATAATTTTTAAAACAACTTTTATATATAATTTTTTTTCTAAAAAACACACAGTTTAATAATTTGCAAAGTATGCGCGCAGAAAACAAGGATATGAGTTGGGAAAATAGGGTAATGAACACAGCTTTATAATCCTATCATTTAGCAAGTATAAGCGAAAATTTTCAATTTTAGTGAAAATTAATTTTAGAAGTTGACTTTATTTATCATATTTTATTTTTCAGTATTTGTTTCTAAATAGTTAAGAAGACATGTATAAAAGTTCTTTTTATAAATTACTTCCAAATCGTTAACAAGACGTTTCTCTTATGATAAGTACAAGCGAACATCGTCATCAATTCCATTTACGGCGAAATGCAGGAAAGTTAAACATTCGTGTGGTCGTGTGGATGATGGTTTTGCAGTGTAGGGTAGTAGTAGTAGTGCAGTAGCTACGAATACAGTGAGTGGTTTGGAGCATGACGATTCTTGAAGCCTTTTTTATATAAACAGAATGCATGGCGTGTTTTGGCAAATTGGCAATAGTTAACACTCTCTGTCTGAAGATGATTTCGGACATGTCAAGATTTTTGGTGATTAGTTAAAACACGGTTGCTAATAAGTACAGGAATATGGTTGGTGATGACGAAATTTGCACTTCGATCCTGAAGAGATAGGCATATGCCACTAACTTTTGATCGTTATTAATTGTCAGTTTTCTACCTCAGAGATGGAAGTACTCTAAAATTAGATAGTTGATTAATTAATGATGTCATGATTTTAGGCTAAGCGGTATACAAGTTTGGTTGATCGATCAGAAGAAGTAATTCATCTTTTTGGTGATATGGCACGGTTGCTAACTACTACTCCAGTCTAGGCATTACGGTTGCTGTCTTTGTGATGGTCGAATTTGCACTCAATCCAGAAGAAATATATATCAATGTCTCTGTCATGCTAAAAGAACACTGCTAAATACACTCTTATTGTTTTTCTGCAAAGCTTGTTCTTTTCTAATTTCTATTACCACTAACACTGAGGTGGTGATCTTGTGAAATTCAGTAATTAAGACTACCGTTTTATGCTATGCAACACCCATTTTTAGGCCTCATTTGGAACAGGAGGATTTTCACGGGAGTTCTGGAGGAAATGAACTGTTCCCTATAAAAATCCTGTAAAATTCTTACGTTCCAAAGGAGAAATTCGGCAGGATTTTCTCCGGCCACTTGAAACTGGACCAGAAGATTCCAGCGTAAGTACTACAGCTATCTGCAGACAATTTCTGTGCGAGCGAGGTAGCTACTGAAAGTCTGAAACCAATGGTGCTCATCAGGTGTTGACGAGAGGCAGGCAGCTAGCAATGAAGGATATACACGATCGAGCTGAATGCCAAGAACCCTTTTGGAAGCTAGCAACCCCTCTCTCCTCCACTGAAAAATACATCTCACCTGGTCCTTCACTTTGCACCGAAATCTGCCGATCAAAACGAGTTTGTTGGCATCGAGAAACGAGAGAGAAATTGTCTTGTTAGGTATATCTTGCTTGAGAGTTGAGAGCGCTTAAGATTCTAAGAAACGGAGTTAATAAAATTCTAGGAAAGGTAGGTTTTTTTAGCTTTTAGCTTCTAATAATTTATTTCCTACATTCTATAACTATACATATTCTTAGAGAATTTAAGAATATACTCTACCGTCCCAAAATAAGTTAACCCTATCTAAATTCGTAGTAATAGAAAATGTCATATCCTATAGGACCTATACCAGGTTAACTTGTTTTGGGATAGAGGAAATATAATGTTTAGGGAGTAGGAGAGCCGGAGATTTTAGAAAAAACCGTAGCTGTCCCAAGTTCTTCCAAACATGGCCTATGGAGGTGGCGCAGGAGCAGGAACAGCTAGCTAGTTAGAGCTCATCAGGTTTGGCTCGTCCCAAGAGCCATAAATTGAACCATATCCATTCATTCCTGCTGCCGCTCTGGTTTAATTTCTCCATATGTAAGGCTCTAGCTGACGATATCCGAACAAGAGCAAAGTTCATCATGAATACAGTGGTTCTTTTATGAAAAATGAAAAAACACAGTTGTTCAGAGAGAGAGAGAGAGAGAGAGAGAGAGAGAGAGTGCACCTTCTTTTCCTGGGGAAGGAGGATCCACTCCCGCTGGGATTGTTGTTTCTCACTGCATATTTGGGAATTACATAACCTTTTGCAGCTCCTATTTTATGAAAACGCAGCAAATTTTATTGAGGATATATAACACATGTAGTTAGTGATTGTTATCTTCCATCACGGGTAAAAAAACAATGTTTCAATTATATATATATTGCTGATCCAAATCTGATGAGAATATGGTATGCATAATTCCGAAGACTAGAATGAATTTTTTAATTCCATGAATCTGCCTCTTCCAAAAGGTTCCGTTTTTGTAGTGTCCATCAACCAAACTTTCTAAGATAAGAAGTTAACTTCCACTAAGATCACAACAACCCACCTTACATGCCAGAAATATTTGACAAAAGTTTTATGGTTCCTTGTGATCTCCTACCACTGATGTTACACAGAATGTTTCCCTAGCCACATGAATTTGACAATATATGACTGCAGTGCGTAGTCACAGCAACATCCCCATGAGAAGGGGTGGATCTGGAAAAGGCCATTTTCTATTGCACCCAAAACATGTTCAGCAGCACTTATGCAAGCAATGGTTCAACAATAACAACATACCATAAAGGTTCAAATAAAGGCCAAATCAATCAATTGATGCCCTTGTTGAAATGACGAACAAATGTTGAAATGACGAACAAATGTTGTCTTAGAAAGCTAGCATGGGATTGCTAGTACTAGATTAAGAATGCTCAGAAATTAGAACCGTCCGTCGATTCTCATCAGAAACACGATCAGGAATTGACACATAATTTCAGCAGTTAATACCAGGACCTCAGGAATTGACACATCATTTCAGCAGTTAATACCAGGACATGTCACAAAATTGTCTAACAAAATGCAGTTAAGATTTGATTTTATAAAGCGATTCCTTGCTAGTCATATGCAAAAACTAACAGATGTAGTAGGTGAATGGTTGGTTGTTTCATGACATATTGATATCAATAAGTACAAGCTATCCTTTCATTTGCTCCTGTGGTCACTGTTGTAGTCATCAATCAGTTTCTCAACATCCTTCCAGAACAAACCTTCCACAAGAACCCCATCCTTGGTGAACCTGGCAAAGAAAATTTGTTAAAAGCAGTGCAAAAGAAAATGCAGGCATTCATAAGGAACAGAAAATAGTGCTACCAAAAAGTACTTAACAGATACAAACTTAGTTGATAGATAAATATCCCATGGCATGAGATAAGTGGATCAGAGACTGATTTTGCAAAATTTACACTCATTAATTCATTAGGCGGTATCATAGTATAGAGGCGCATGCCTGTTTCTAGTCACATCATGGTACTATTGAGTAAACGTAAGCTTTTACAAGCAGCAGAGCATCAAACCAGTTGTAATGTTTGAACCCTGAAACTACAGCAAAATTTAGATGTATCATTTTAGAATTTAGATTTACTTGATGTCAATAGTGACTGCATAATTTAAATTCATAAGATTATATAATACATTCCAGCCATTAGACACAAAAATCACCCTGTTGATAACTTATATTTTCATCAGAATACAAGAGTACAAGAAACGTTACCATTTTGTGACACTCTTAGTGAAATGGACTGGTTCACTGGAAGATTTAGAATGTGGATCTGCACTTGCTATTGTGAGGGTATACATGTCTGACAATCTTGGTAACTTTGAAGATATAACAAGCCCAGTCCTATTAAATGATCCCTGTAACAGAAGTACCGCGGGGAACAAGTTAAAAGATGAGTTAAAATTGAACAAAGCACAAGGATAAATAATGTATTCACACATCAGCTATAATTATCAAAATTACACATTTACTTCTGACAAGCAAATTGTTCGATATCACATTCACACCTCACATGGTGTAATTGAAAACCAGAAGTGGCCCACTGGCCCTATAAATCTAATATAGTAAAGCTAAGTCGATTATATTGCTACTACTAGTCAGCCTGAATAATAGGTACATCAAAATTTCCCTGAAATCACATTGACAAAATAATTGTTGCAACTAACATAGGTGAGGATAAAACTTTTTAGATCAAAGGTCAAACCTTTGCTTATATTGAAGGGCACCGAATAGGATAGCTAGTCTCCTGAACATGCTCTTATATTGAAGGCAAGTGTAATGATACAAATTTTCTGGGGGTACCAATTTACAGATGTGCATTGGGAACCTAGCTAGTTCCACCAAAAAACGAAAAGCAGTTCACAACTCAATGTTCACCAGTACACCACAAAAGAAACTAACACTAGTTACTCCAAGTAATATCAGGAGAAAAAACTGCTCAAATCAAGCCAAAATTAATTGCAGCAACAATCCATAAGGAACAAGCTTTCGCAACAGGCAGTCAGGCACCATAACCTGAATTCAAGCATAATTATGAAAACTGATGAAATATCGCAAACTTTCCTTGAACCGTAACACAGCATATCTATGTGACATGTTTAATCAATCAAGATCTATAGAGCAAATTATGAGCGTGCTATGGGCATCACCGCGGGAGGGTACGTGAAGAGGATGGCGTTCTTCTCCTTGGTGTAGGTAACGATCTGCAGCGCCACGTTGAGCGCCGCGTACAGCGCGATGCAGGCGAGGAGGACGTCCCTGTTCTCGGGGAACTTGCGGGGGTAGAACTGCGCGAGGAGCGCGACGGCGATCACCGCCGCGCCGACCGCCAGCCTCCGGTTGCTCAGCCGCGCGTCCTCTGGGTACCCCTTGCTCTTCGCGACCTGGCGCAAACCCACCACCCACCACAGCATCATCAGAAACAACCGAGAAAAATCTCAAATCTGGAGGATCTCAGAAGGGAGGGAAGGGGATTGAATTAGGGTTTAGCGTTTGCTGCCGCCGTTCACCTCGGAGACGGTCTCGTCGAGGAGATGCTTGATGGAGTAGGGGTCGAGGAGGTTGGCCTTCTTCGCCGCCGGTGAGGGGGTGGCGCCGCCGCCGTCGGTCGCCATCCGCGTCGTCGCCGGCGAAACGGAGGAGGATGCGGTGGGGAACAGAATATGATGCGGATGTTTCACTGACGGGTGGGCCCGGGTATGAGGTGGACAGTGTTCGCCACGTCGGATACTGCGTTGGCTTGAACCAATGGGAGAATACGTGGGAGTCCACGTCAGCGGAAAACCCAAACTAGTAGTTTTTTTTCATTTTAACTACCATGGTAGCATTATTATATTTTCTCTCATATAATAGCATATATGTTTTCTCAATGTATTATTCAAATATATTAAAATGACAACATAATTTTAAATTTTGTACTAACTTTACGAAACTACTAATGTGTAATATTCCTATTGTATTTTATATATGTGTTAGTTATTAATTATTTTTATTATTGAATTTTAGTTATTTGTAAATTATATTCTTATATAATTTCTTTTTTTAATTCCAAATTTTCATTATCTGTAAATTATATTTCTATATAGACTCAAGGCTCTTCTTGCAATATTATTTATTTTTAATTCTTAATTTTTATTATTTCTAATTGTATTTCTACGTGGACTCTAAACTCACCTTTCAATATTCTTTAATTTTTAATTACGAATTTCAGTTACTTCTAAATTGTATTCCTATATTGACTTTAGAGTTTTCTTCCCATGTTTTTTCTTAATCTCGAATTTTAGTTATTTGTAAATTGTATTTTTATACGGACTCTAAACTCTACTTTTAATTTTATTCTGTTTATTCTGAATTTTAGTTAGTTTTAAATTTCTATATGGATTCTATACTCAACTTCTAATATTCCTTATTTTTTATTCCGAATTTCTATTATTTCTTAATTGTATTTCTGTATGAACTCTATACTCTACTTCTAATATTCCTTATTTTTAATTTCTAATTTCTATTATTTCCTAATTGTATTTCTATATGGACTCTATACTCTTCTTCTAATATTCTTTATTTTTTTTAATTTCGAATTTCAGTAATTTATAAATTGTATTTCTATACAGACTCTAGTCTACTCTTTCAATATTCCTTATTTTTTAATTCTGAATTTTAACTATTTCTAAATTGTATTTCTATATGGACTATGTTTTTCTTTTTCTCCAATTAATATGAGAATTTCTAACCCGTGAGAGCGAACGTGGAGGCTCCTTTTTCTATTCCTTTAATAAGTTAACTAGCTGGGTGGCCCGCGCAATTGCGCGGCTAGCACCCATACAAAATCATATATTTTTCTAGTATAATTTTACTTAAAAGTTATTAAATAGCTATCTCATTGTCTTAAGACTTTAAAAGACCAAACCTTATCATCCTCGTGTTTCTAATTATATAGTTTTTAAAAGTCACGTCAGTTGCTACCCCTTATGTCATCTACTTCTTTATTTGCTTGCTCGATCTACTACTATTTCTATTCATTCTTCTTAGAACCTTTAAAAATTAGATTTTATAGTTTTTAGAGTTTATTGTCATGTTGGGTTTCATTTTTATAATTTCTAGATGTCCCGTCAAACATTGCCATTATACTCCTCTACTGCCCGTCCACTATATTTTTTCTTTGTTGTCATTGAGATTTTAAAAATCGAACATAATTATCGTTTGGATTTATTTTTTACTTTCTAAAAGTCCCGCCAAACCGTCAGCGGCTTTGCCATTGTACTCCTCTACGGCTCGCCCGCTGCCTCCCTTCTTTATTGTCATTGAGATTTTAAAATCGAACATGATTCTCATTGTTTTTTATTACTTTTTAGAAGATCCGAACCTTTAAAAATTGGACTTGTAGTTTTATTTTTTTATATTTTTTAAGAAGTCCCATCAAACAATGCCACTATGCCCCTCTACAGCCCATCCGCCGCCTACTATTTATTGTCATTGTGATTCTAAAAATCGAACATAACTATCGTTGGAATTCATTTTTTTTTTATTTTCTAGAAGACCCGCCAACCGTCGGCGGCTTTGCAATTATACTCTTATACACCCCGCCTGCTGCTTCTCCTTTTTATTGTCACTGAGATTTTAAAAATCAAATATGATTATCAATGTTTTTTTTTACTTTCTAGAAGTCCCGGCAACCGCCTTACTCGTTTGCTTTATGGCCTGCCTGACTTCCCTCCTTTTAATCGTCATTAGGATTCTATTTGATGTTCTATTAATAATTTTTATATGTCGTATCAACCATCACCACTCTACTCCTTTATAGGTCTATAACTTAATTTATCTCGTCATATATTTTAGATGGTCTTTTCTTTCAATAATCTTTATTTTTATCACAAATTTTAGTTATTTATAAATTGTATTCCAAATTGAAATCATATTCTTTTTTTTCTAATTTCAGTTTTTTTTTAAATTTAGTTAATACCGTATTGTGTTCTTTTAATGTTTTTATTTTTTTATTTTCAATTTCAGTTGTTTCAAAATTGTATTCCTACTTGAACTCTCTTTTAATTTTTCTAATTTTGGATATTATTTTTTATTCTAAATTTTAATTAATCTCGTATTGGGTTCTTATATGGATTCTTCTTTCAATATTGCTTATTTTTAATTCCGAACTTTAGCTAATTTTAAATTATATTCCTATTTGAACTCTTCTTTTATTTTCTTTTGCTAATTTCGGATTTATTTATTTTTATTCTGAATTTTAATTAATCTCGTATTGGGTTCTTATGTGGACTCTTCTTTCAATATTGCTTATTTTTAATTCTGAATTTCAGCTATTTTTATATTGTATTCCTACTTGGACTCTCATTTCCTTTCCTAATTTTGTATTTTATTTTATTTTTATTTTGAATTTTAATTAATCTCTTATTGGGTTCTTATGTGGAAACTTCTTTCAATATTGCTTATTTTTAATTCCGAATTTCAGCTATTTTTATATTGTATTTCTACTTGGACTCTCATTTCCTTTCCTAATTTTGAATTTTATTTTATTTTTATTTTGAATTTTAATTAATCTCGTATTGGGTTCTTATATGGAAACTTCTTTCAGTATTGCTTATTTTTAATTCTGAATTTTAACTATTTTTATATTGTATTTCTACTTGGACTCTCAATCCTTTCCTAATTTTGGATTTTATTTTATTTTTATTTCGAATTTTGATTAATTTCGTATCGGATTCTTATATGGAAACTTCTTTCAATATTGCTTATTTTAATTCCGAATTTCAGCTATTTTTATATTGTATTTCTACTTGGACTCTCCTTTCCTTTTTCTAATTTTATATTTTAGATTTTATTTTATTTTTATTTCGAATTTTGATTAATCTTGTATTGGGTTCTTATATGGAAACTTCTTTCAATATTGCTTATTTTTAATTCTAAATTTCAGTTATTTTTAGATTGTACTTCTACTTGGACTCTTCTTTTCTTTTTTTCTTTTTCTCCGATTAATGTGAGAATTTCTAGCCCCCACAGCGAACGTGGTGCCTCCTTTCAAAGCTGTTTTAACAATATAATAGATAGATAGATTATTTTATTTTTGTTTCTTAATTAAAATTGTGATATTTATGTCTCTTTGCCTCCCTAGAGTCGAAGAGAATGTATTCTTTTAAAATTTTCAAATATCAGTTGAATTTGGATTTCAATGGAATTTCTTTCTATTTTGGTGACATTCAGAATGAAATTCCATCTTTTCTTTTCTTTTTTTCAAACTAGCTTGAAGAAGAAGGAAGAAAGGATATCCGATCTCCAGTATACCTAGCAATTCGTAAAATTGACCAAATTCATGTAAAATTTCACTCAAATATTTTTACATTTAAGCCAAATAACGTATATATACTCCACTCTCCACTACACTGTCATACATTTTCATAGCCGCCGCCGTCTCGCGGCGATCGAACTCCACAACTCACGCCGGCGGTGGCGCGGAAGAGGAGGACGCCGCCGCCGCCGCATCCTCGCTGTCGCGGGGCTTGCCCCGCCGGAGCTGGCGAGCGAGCAACGCCAGACACGCGCCGACGAGGGCCACCTGCAATGCCGCGGCGACGGCGGCGAGCGCGATCCCGACCCTCTCGCCGAGGTTGAGCTTGAGCCGCCGCTTCCTCTCCCCTCCGTAGCCCCGCGGGGGCGGCGGACGAGGCGCGGCGCTGGTGGTGGTGGTGGGGTGGAGGCGGCCTCGGCCGGGGGACGGGGAGGGTGCCGCCGACGGCGCGTGGGCCGGCGGACCACTGTTGGCGCCGCCGCTGAGCCGTCTGGTGGCGGCGAAGCCGACGACGGAGCTGGGGGAGGTCGTAGGTGGCCGCGGGAGGAGCACCAGCAGGAGGAGGACGGGGATGATGACGAGGAGTGCTACTGCTGCTCGCGGTCGCGGCGCCATGGCCGGCGGATGAGACGACGCCGCCGCTGCGCCTGCGGAGGCGGCAGCAGCATGGGCCTTTTCCGCGATGCTGGTGTGGGCGGGGCGATCGATCGAGCGTGTGGCCGCGGCGCGGCGGCCGGTCAGGTCAGTGTGCCGTGCACGAGAGGGAGGGGAGGGGAAGCAGCTAGCGAGCGGCGGGTGGTGTCGCGTCGTGGCGCTGCGCTGGGAAGTCGCGAGAGTCGCGGATGGCGATGGTGGATGGGGGTGGGGAGGTGGGGGGGGGGGGGGGAGGACTGATGGTGATTTCGCCTCCTTCTCCGCCGGCTCAGGTCGCAGGGGGTGGTTGCAACTTCCAACTCCTAACAGCTCAAGCCTACGACGTACGTCAAGAATTGATAGCATATCCTAAAGGGTAAAACCAGTGATCCCTTGTAACAAGAAAGAAGAAACTGAATGATCACTCGGTTCGATCAACCGAGGGGTTGTTATTTTGTTGGTGTCTAAGTTTGCCACAGCTAACTTTAGATAAAAATGTGGCATGGCTCGAAACCGTGTCTGTGAATTAGTATGCTATAAGTGTGGCTTAGTTCAAAAGAAAACTAAGTAAGTAAACAACTTATGGGCCCAAAATATAAAAAGGAGTGATAAAGTCTAACTTGGGGTCTAGCACTCTCCTTCGCCTCGTCCTCTTTAGGCTCCAGCAAGGCCGGCGGCTCTGGTGCCGTATCCAAGCTCCAAGACGCCGGGAGCAAGCCATGCCTGGGCATCGCCTCGGCTGACTCTTCCATAGGTCGTCGCTCTGAGCTTCCTCTACCACTGACTCCTCCACTGGTTGCGGCTCTGAGCTACTCTAGTATGGCGTATCCTCCTATCGTTGCCTCCTCCACCGGCCGCGAGCGTGGCCACTGGCAGTTCCTCGATGCCGGCTCGCTCGCTGTCTCTTCGACGTTGTTGGGCCCTGGATCTGTTGCCGTCCCGCGCTCTTGCCGCTATTTCCCGGAATAGACGATGAGGTGGAGAAAATGAGGCAAGAGAAAAGGAAGAGAGGGGAAGAAAGAAGACGAGGCACTGATACGTGGACCCAGTATGTTGAGTCAACCGTTTAGACCAAGTCAACGTGCCATGTCAACTAAAACCACCCTAAAAAAAGTTGAGCAAGTCATTTTACCTGGTTTTAATAGTTGGAGAAGTCGATATGCCCAGTTTTATGGTTGAGAGATAAAAATCTTATCCGTTCTATTTGAGGGGGTCTAATTGGACTTTTTCCTTTTTTTAGCCCAGCTCACTAAGGAAAAAGTACACCGAAAGTCCCTCAACTTGTCATCGGGATAAAAAACGTCCTCGAACAGCAAAACCAGATACGCGAGGTCCCTTAACTATATAAAACCGATCACTTGAGGTCCTTAGGCGATTTTGACCCTGGTTTTGTCCTACGTTACTGCTGAGTCAGCGTGGGAACCACATAGGCCCCACATGTCAGGATGCCAACTCATCACCTTCCTTCCTTTTCCTCCTCTCTCTTTCTGGGCGGCTTCTCGGCGAGGCTAAGCGGCGATGCAGAGGTCAGCAGGCGAGGTGGGAGAGAGGAGGGCGGCGGCACGACGGCGGCCGGCGCCCGGCGGGAGAAGGGTAGGGCGGCTGCGGCGGTAGCCAGGGGGAAGCGCGAAGAGGACAGGGCGATGTCGCGCCGTCGCCTACACCCGCCGCTCCTCATGCTCGTTGAGCTCCCACACCGGCACGCTGCGCTTCACGTCGCGACGCCGTCGTAATCGCCGCACCCCACGTGCGCCACCACCCCGCCGCCGCCCGGCCGCCACGGTGAGACGCATCGGCGCTTGGCCTCCTCGGCCTCGACCATGCGGTGGGATGCCTCGGCGAGTCGGTCGAGCGCCTGTTGCACGGCGTCGCGGCCGCCGATAAGGAGCCGCGTCCCCGAAGGATGTCCCGATACAGCCCGAGCGCCTCCCGCCGCGAGCTCGTCAGCCGGCGGCACACCTCGGCCTCCGCCGCGTCTCTGTCGAGCGCCCTGGAGGAGGAGGATGAGGGGGACTTCTTGGCGACGGGGAGAGCGGCGCCTCCGTCGCCCCCATCGTCAATGGGGAGGCGCGGGTGTGTGCGGGCGTCGACGGGCGGCCGGAAGGCGCGGGCGTCGACGGGGCGAGGCGGGAGAGGAGGAGGACGACGCCGCGGCTTCCTCCACCGCGCGCAGCTGGGGGGAGGGGAGAGGAAGAGGTCCGGCGGCCGTCGTCCCCGCAGAACGACGACGACGAGGAACGGGCCGCTGCTGGCCTCCCCGCCTCCTCCCTCTTCACGTGCTCGCTGTGGGAGTTGTGGGGAAAGGCGGCGCTCTAGCTGCAAGTCGACTCCATCCTTGTCGCCGTCGCACAAAGTTGCCGCTGCCATTGTGTAGCTCGTCACCGGCGACCAGACCTCTTCCGCTCCCGCCGACCGGCTCGCCAAAACGAGGAAGAGAGAGAGGAAGAAGGGAGAGAAGAGGGGGGGACCCGCCAAAACGAGGCACTGCCTCCCTCCTTTGCGCCCCCGGCCAAAGCAGTCGCCACAGCGCCGCCCATCGCCGGCTGCCCCGCCAGCCTCCTCCGCAGTCCGCACCTGCCGGTCAGCCTGAGAAAAGTGAGAGACTGAGAGAGAAGGGGAGAGGAGGGGAAATAAGAGAGAGGTGATGAGTTGGCATTCTGAGATGTGAGGCCCACCGTGGGTCCCATGCTGACTCAGCAGCCACGTAGGATAAAACTGGGTCAAAACCACCTAAGAACCTCGGGTGACTGGTTTTATATAGTTAAGGGACCTCGCATATCTGGTTTTGCGGTTCGAGGACGTTTTTTATTCCGATGACAAGTTGAGGGACCTTCGGTGTACTTTTTCCGCTCACATCCAAATACTTCTGTCACTGAGGCCCATCTAGCAAACAATATTCCGGCCCATGAAAACTCCCGTGCGGCAACGCACACAGCTTCGCAATCTCCCCACCTTATCGTCGTCGTCGCCACTGTCCCCCGTGCCCGATGGCCGCGCCCGCGCCCACAGCTTCGCCGCCGCCGCCGCCCGCCATGTCCGGCCTCCTCTCCTTCGCCTCGTCCCGCCCCTACCCTCCCCTCCCCGCGCCCAGACCCGCCGCCGCCGCCCCCAGGCCGCGCCTCCGCATAGCGGGTTCCGCCGCCGCGGCCCCCAACGCCGTGTCCCACCGGGCATCCTCCTCCTTCTCCTCCGGAGACCGCCTCCGCTCGCTCGTCCGCCGCGGGGAGCTCGACGAGGCGCTCCGCCTCGTCGGGTCCGCGCGGAGGCCCGACGCGGGCACCTGCGCCGCGCTCATCAAGAAGCTCAGCGCGTCGGGGCGCACCGCGGAGGCCCGCCGCGTGCTGGCCGCGTGCGGCCCCGACGTCATGGCGTACAACGCCATGGTGGCCGGGTACTGCGGCGCGGGGCAGCTCGACGCCGCGCGGCGGCTCGTCGCGGAGATGCCCGTGGAGCCCGACGCCTACACCTACAACACGCTCATCCGAGGCCTCTGCGGACGCGGCCGGACCGCGAACGCGCTGGCGGTGCTCGACGAAATGCTCCGCCGGCGATGTGTGCCGGACGTGGTCACCTACACCATCCTCCTCGAGGCCACGTGCAAGAGGAGCGGGTACAAGCAGGCCATGAAGCTTCTCGACGAGATGCGAGATAAGGGGTGCACCCCGGACATTGTCACCTACAACGTCGTTGTCAATGGAATCTGCCAAGAAGGACGGGTTGACGATGCCATTGAGTTCTTGAAGAACCTCCCGTCATATGGCTGTGAACCAAACACAGTTAGCTATAACATTGTGTTGAAGGGCCTGTGTACCGCGGAGCGATGGGAGGATGCCGAGGAGCTCATGGGCGAGATGGGCCAGAAGGGTTGCCCTCCAAATGTGGTAACTTTTAACATGCTCATCAGTTTCTTATGCCGGAAAGGATTGGTTGAGCCAGCACTGGAAGTCCTTGAGCAGATCCCCAAGTACGGTTGCACACCTAATTCGTTGAGTTACAACCCGCTTCTCCACGCATTCTGCAAGCAAAAAAAGATGGATAAAGCGATGGCGTTTTTGGATTTGATGGTGTCCAGAGGCTGTTATCCAGACATCGTTTCATACAACACTCTACTTACTGCACTCTGCCGCAGTGGTGAGGTTGACGTCGCTGTTGAATTGCTTCATCAACTCAAGGACAAGGGCTGCGCTCCTGTCTTGATAAGTTATAACACGGTCATTGATGGGCTTACGAAGGCTGGGAAGACAAAGGAAGCACTAGAGCTGCTCAATGAGATGGTCAGCAAAGGGCTCCAACCAGATATTATCACATACTCGACAATAGCTGCTGGTCTTTGTAGAGAAGATAGAATTGAAGATGCAATTAGGGCATTTGGTAAAGTGCAAGATATGGGCATAAGGCCCAACACTGTGTTGTACAATGCGATAATTCTTGGGCTTTGCAAAAGGCGTGAAACACACAGTGCCATTGATCTTTTCGCTTACATGATAGGGAATGGCTGCATGCCGAATGAATCAACTTACACCATATTGATTGAAGGCTTGGCTTATGAGGGATTGATCAAGGAGGCACGGGATTTGCTGGATGAATTATGTTCGAGAGGTGTTGTAAGGAAGAGCTTGATAAATAAGGGAGCCATTAGACTGCTTGATTGAACTATGAATACATATAAGAGGATCAACTGAGTATCGAGGGTCTGAGAATGAGATTTTGTGCATCTTCGCTCTTCAGCAGGAGAGGAGATTTTACTGGATGTTCACCTAATTGATGTTGCTTTCTTGACAACATGTGAGTCCTTTCATCCACTTCCCACCTTACAGGCTTACAGCCCACTTCAGTCTTCGAGTTGCTTGGAATTTCTGCATAACTCTTGTCTTATTTAACATACTTTACCTTATTGTTGAACATGGTCTCATGTTTCACATTCTTGTCCTTACATGATATATCATACTAGTGTGAGATACATATTAGACCTGTTTTGATTGGGCATTTCTTGCTTCAATATGCTTTAGCACTTCATATGAACTAGCGGAATGAAGGGATATGCTAAGTGATGAGCATTAGGCTACCTGTTCTCTCTACTCCTGTACTGTAAGCCAGAGTTGACTTATCTTAGTCATTGACACGGTAATGACACCCTAATTGGTTTCAAACTAAACATGCCGCTTTCTCAGCTGCAGTTCTACAGAATTGACTTGGGATAAATCTAAGACTGTGAGCTACAGAATTTGCCAATTCAAGTAGAAAACATGAAAAATGACCAGTTGATTACTATCTGAAACTCCCTATTTACATCTAAATTGAATGACAACATAAAATTTGAACTAAATTTTAGAAAAGGCTGGAAGTCCAGATTTCCCTTTGGATTGTGGGTACCATCAGAAATTGGTCAGTGCCCAGTGATGTGATTCAAAACTTCTTTCTCAATGAGTTATTTTCCATGCTTGTGATGGGAAAATGATGAAATTATTGGATTCAGTCCTTCACCACTAAGACATTGATGGCACCTGGCCACTTTATGTCAAATGTCAGACCAGAAACATGATTTTCACTTATGCAGTTACCATCCTTAGGCGTAACCTTTCCAATGTGTCATATTATACTAAAGTCGCTGATTTAGTTTATATTTTAATTAATTTGCTCTGTTTTTATTGCAGTCTTGCCGTGCTCAAATGCTAATGGAGGTCCTTTTCTCAGATTGCCACCAGAAGGTACTTGAACAAACAGTGAATCTGAGCCTCACTGTCCATCAAAACTGATCTGTTTATATATATGCAAGGCACTGATAACCTTGTAAGTTGTGAACCTTTGCATATAAATTTGTAATGATTCAGGCTCACCAGTATATGATGCCCTCCTGTAGCTAATAGTTTTTCCCGTGTCAAATCAAATGAATTTTGGTTTAGGCATAACCATTTAGCTTATTATTGTGTGTCTTCCCAATTATGCAATGTACCAAAAAAAATGCATCTTAGGTGTACATCTATGCAATGTGCACCATTTAATCTCCATCCTGGCCAAAACCTGAATTCAGGAACAGGATTTTAGCCCCAGCTTTGTAGTTCCAACAGAAAAAAAGAAGAAGAAAAACTACTATTAATTCCAAAGTTCTATACAAATATAAGAAAAAGAGGCAGCCATGGAAGTTCTTGGGAATGCATCATGCAATCCTTGGTTCTATGCAAGCTTTTGAAGGACCTTAAAATTACACCATGACACGACAAAGAATAACTTAATTCATTACACCAGTTAGCAAAATACCCCCTCTATATGTAATATACCCTGTGGTACCAATGGATCAGTGTTTTACAAAAAATCATGCCGAATTGGTGCTCCTCCAAGTTGCATGGCTTCTTAAAACATACACTGCCTGATGTGAAAACACAGGAAACCATGCAAAGTTTGTGTGGTTTTTTTTCCCCTGTCTGCCTAGAGCAGAACTCCCATACAATCTGATCAGGCAGGTGGTGGCTCTGCAGGCCCAGCTGGTTTTGTATTCAGAAGAGGCTGGATTGCCTTCACGACGATCGTCATGTTCGGTCGGAAGTCGGCTTCGTACTGAACGCACAATGCTGCAACTGCTGCTAGCTGAAAAAAAATCATGAAAGAAAAAACAATGGCACTCACTGCTGCTTTCTGAATTTTGTCAGATTTGCTACAGTATAGCTACCTTTGCGACAGCCTTCGGAGGGTAATCATTGTTGAGCTTTGGATCGACGCACTGCTTAACTTTATCTTCGCTCAATCTTGGAGTAGCCTGCCTCACAAAGATCATGGTATATGTAAGATCATTGGAAATGGAAAGATTGAAATAGGATATATTGTAATAAGTTATCTTTTGTTGAAGGATAAAACTTCTCCTTACCCAAGTGACAAGACTTTGTTGCCCTTTTGGCATGGTGTGATCAACTGGTTTCCTTCCGGTTAGTAGCTCCAATAGAATCACGCCAAAGCTGTAAACATCGCTCTTCTGATTTATTTGCCCTGTCATGGCATATCTGAACATCACCATAATCAGACCAACAAATCGTCAGCAAGTAAATCCTGCAAAAGGCAAAGCATGCTGTACAGTCTGATACGCGAGAAATCAATCATTCTCTCCCTTACTCTGGAGCATGGTATCCAAATGTTCCTAGCACCCTAGTCGAATGCAACCGGGCAGCGGTGTCGGTGCCCTGGTTCGTCAGGTTGAAATCGGCGATCTTCGAGCTGAACTCGTCGAATATAAGAACATTGCTAGACCGAACATCTCGATGAACGATCGATGGCTGCACTTTCTCATGGAGGTACTCCAGCCCTCTCGCCGCCCCATAAGCTATCTTGACCCGTTGCGCCCAGTTCAGAACCGGGCCGGGCTCCGCGCCCTGGACTCCCTTCTTACCTGCATCACATCCAAAACCATTAATTAGCTTAGCCCTACGTGTGGAGATTTTTTGGCTCCGCCCCCTGATCACATGGGCGTAAACTTGTCGGGATTTTACTGTTGCTCTTTATCTCGTGTTTGCTTTAAATTTGGGAGTGTTTTTTTAAGTTTACTTTGAAGTACACTTGCTTCGAGTGATTTGGTGTAATAATCGGCTGTAGTTCGTTGAGTAATGACTGGGATGGTTTTCTATTCCATTATGTAAGAAAAACATAAGGTAGTAGTGAAATGGAAAAGACTTATTACCGTGAAGAATGTTGTGTAAAGAACCCATGGTTGCAAACTGGTAGGCCAGCATGCGGTTGCCGTCTTCCAAGCAGTAGCCCAAGAGCTCCAGGAAGTACTCGTTCTTGAGCTTGGACACCATCGCTATCTATGGCGACGAGATGAAGATGAGCAAAAAGCTAAGATGGCTCATGTCGCGAGGAGGAGGAAGAAGAAGAAGTGGGGTGTTTTGGGGCACACCTGGGCGGAGAACTCGGAGTCGGTCTCCTGGGAGGCGCCGGGGTCGAGCTTCTTGATGACGGCGGCGCGGCCGTCGCTGAGCGTGCCGTTGTAGACGCGGCCGTAGGAGCCCTCGCCGATGAGGGCGCGGTCGCTGAAGTTGCTGGTGATCTTCTTCAGCTCCTCGAACGGTATCGCCGGCACGTCGATGTTCACCGGCTTCGGCGGCCCGCCCGGCCGCGCCGCCCCCGGCCCTCTCGGCCCGCCTCTATTCCCTGCTTCCATCCGCCGTCGCCGGAGAAGAAGACCAAGAGACGGTCACGAAATCGGTCAGCAAAGGAGGAGAGGAATGTAGGAGGCCGCCGCCGCCGGAGAAGAGGAATGTGGAGACGCACCGGGAGCATTGACGTTGGGCGGCGGAGCGGCCTGGTTCGCCGGCGGGCCGTAGCTGTCCTCCTCGGCGCCTCCGCAGCAAGACATCTTCTTCTTCCTCCTCCTCCTCTCGCCGGAGTTGGATGCGCGGGCTGATCTGGTGGCCGCCCCCCGCTCAGCGGATCATCGCGCACGACCTGCAAACCATTTTCGATTAATTCCTCGCGTGCACACCAACAGATTAAATCCCTGAAGAATCAATTCACGAAACGGATCAATCTCTTTCCGAGGAACAGAAAATTAACTGAAAAGAAATTAAAATCAACGCACAATTTCCAGATGATCAAGCAATCATCGGAAGCAATGAGGGGATCGTGGATCAAGAAAACAGAGGATGCATGCATGCTCCATATGCGATCTGGATCGGCATGCAGAAAACGGTAGAAATTCTTACCTCCCCCAAAGATTCCCGCACGAGATCGATCGCTTCCCGCACGAGATCGATCGATGGCGATCGATCGAGGGGGGGCAAAGGGAAGAACAGCGGTGTTTTGTTCCCCGGGAGAAGAGGTTAATGGTGGGGAATGGCGGGAGCTCCCCCTCTTTCCGCGCCAAAGGAGCCACACCCCCCTGGCCCCCTCTCCCACCCGTTTTAACCGCCACACGCACACACGCACGCACGGACGCGTCAATTAATTGGAGTAATTAACTAACCTCTGTGCTTGAGCACCTTCCCCATTATTATTGACTATTGTTAGCACGATCACATGATATGAAACTATGGAGGTGTGCCATAATCTTTAGAGTTAATTGGATCCATATCATTATAAATTTACTCGTTTTGAAATACACAGTTAATATTCATTATAAATTTACTCATTTTAAAATACACAGTTACTATTCATGAAACTAAAAGCATGCCATCATGATTTTACAGGTATTCCAAATATACCACTGTTTACCTCTTTGAAGTATTATCAATTTTTTTGACCAAAATGCATGTCCCTTTCTTCTTCCTTTCCCTTTTCCTCTCTTCCTTCCACTGGCACCGCAGCAATGAGCTTGGGCGCGGAGGGCATCCATCTTAGCGATTGCCGCGGCCTTCTATCCTCGAGGCGTCGTTAGCGGATGCAGAGCCGCCACTTCATTTCATACTGGAGCTAGAGGGATTGAGGAAAACGATTCAAATAGTAGGTAATGGTTGCGTAGAGGCTGACATGTCTTCTGGTAGGGAAGAGGAAGGTTAACTCCATTGCCACCAAAGCCCCTCCCATGGCTCCCATCCTCGGTGGTCGGTGTGGTGGAGTAGCATGGACGCGGGAAGGGTAGATCTAACGCGGCGGCGGGAAGAGGCCCGACGAGGAAAGGAGGTGGAGCTCACCACCATCTCGCCGTCCTCTGACGTCACTGGAGAAGAGATGTGGTGCTTGAGCTCGAGCATTGTCTACACGACGGCTATGGTGTGCGCCAATCCGTGCTTCATGGGCATTGCCTCCTCTTTCAGGGTAACCACGAGCTCGCATGCACTGTCATCGCGTTAGCTTCGCTCGTTTCGCTACCGATGGCACTTGTACTCTCGCTGATTGGTTCGCCTTGCGCTCACTCCTAGACATTGCTATGGCACTGGTGGAAAGGAAGAGAGGAGGAAGGGGAAAGAAGGAAGAAGGAAGAAGGAAGGGGCATTTTGGTCAATAAATTTCTGACAATGCTTCAAAGAGGTAGTAATAGCACATCTGGAATGCCTATAAATTTGTAATGGTATGGTTCCAATTTCACAAATAGTAATGGTATATTTCGAAACAGGCAAAATTATAATGGCATGAATCCAATTAACCCTCTTTACTTAGGAGCTCATTAAATGATGACTATATGTTTGATAATACAGGAAATACAAGCATATACAAACTCTTCTAGTATGATTCGAACTCATATGCAGGTAGTATCGAGTATTCACTTTAATTTTCTCTCTCCCGTATCCTTTCCACGAGTCTAATATCTAACGTTTTGAATTTGCATGAGGATACTAACGCACTAGAATAGATACCATCATCTTAATCGGACGGTAAGCCCCATCTCAATCGGGCACGGCGTTCGTCACATGCTAGAAGTAACAGATATGAACAGTTATCTCAATCGGGCAAACGGCCGTCACGGATGAACCTATCTCAATCGGGCCCTAATTAAAGCCCGTCACCAATAGCTTTGACCCAGATTACCAGTCAAACTATAGCCCGTCACGGATGATCTATCTCAATTGGGCCACAAATAGCACCCGTCACAGATGACTACTAACCTCAATCGGGTCTAAGCTAGAGCACGTCAGGGATGATACTCATCTCAATCGGGCCTAAACTATAGCCCGTCACAGATGACCATCATCTCAATCGGGCATTAACTATAGCCCGTCACAGATGACCCTTATCTCAATCAGGCACTAAGTTATGGCCCGTCACAGATGAGTATAATCCACAAAAAAATAAATTTTGTTTTTTGGCTAACCTCAGGCCTTTGCTAGCCATGCCCGTTGCAAAAATGACAGAAACACATGCATATACAATATCCCCAGCATCACCCATTCATATACATGCACTCACATACACAGCTATCAATATATTTCACACAACCATATTCACAGAACATCTATTTTAATCTCATATTTCACATCCATTCACATATTTTACGTCGATTCACATATTTAACATATTTCACCTGCAAAACCGAGTTAATTGGATGAAATATTTATTTAGCAAGTATTAACATAGACATAAGAAATATATACATAAATATAAACATCATAGTTACATAATCAAGGTCTTAATCAATGTTCATCATTGCCTAAATATAAAAGTTCAACAATATTCATTATTTTAGTTTAAGCCTAAACATTCCTTTGGGGTTAATTATTTCGCGGAGGATGAAGCCGGCTATCTCCTCACGAATCTCCTCAAAGTTGGTAGGCAGAGACTTGGTAATTTTGCCCTACATTGTCATAATTCAAGATTAGTTGATCGATCATATATATGTACATCGATGTAGTTAGTATATCACAATTAAGACCACCGACCTCAAATTCAGCCAAAGTCTTCACCTTTTCTCTGTATATATAGAAGGCGCATGTTGTGGCACACATGGAATCCGTGCTGGTCACCTATTTGTTACTTCACCGGGAAGTCTTTTTTGTGGATGAGGGTGTCATGTCCTATCTTCCTGAGGCCTCCTCTTTACACGTATTGGCCCCACACTTCATCTATCGTTAGTTGAATAGGGGTCCAATCATATGCCTGCTTATCAATTCTGGAGTTCAGGTAGTGGCATGTACTCCACTTAGGTGTTATGACCAGAAGGATTCAATGGGCACTGCAGCATTAATATAGTGAAAGTTAAATACTAAAGCTATATGTGTCACGCTGTTGTGTATATTTAGGGAACACACTTACTATTGATTATAGGCGCACATAATGTACTCCTTGTCTCAGCGGGACCACAAGGTGTCGTAGATGTAGTTGAACATTCCTTGACGGTTATTCTCGAGATTTGTGACAGTGACCACTTATGGATCAAGGAAGGCGACTTCTGGTGCATTTTTCTGACACCATTGCCAACTTAACCTACACGCAAGATACACGGGTACCCACTTTTCTATCCCGTATCCTTTTTCTCGAGCCTCATGTCTAATGGGCTGACTAGCCGTTTTCACACCCTAAGATTAATTGTTTCTAAGTTCTAACAAACAGTAATTCAACTGATGTAACAGAAACCTTTTTACCATTGTTTCTGACCTGACAAGCATCCAATTTTTTTGTATCATTGCAACGATCAGAAATTCCACTGGGGTGACAGACAAAATACATGACCTTGATTTTTTTTCTCCCACTACAATTAGTCATCTCCTATGCTCTATCAATACATATGAGGTAAAGCTTATGCTCTCTTATTTTCTTAAGAAAAAAAAGCCATCTCATATCCTTTCTTCAGTTTTGGGCCTCCACTGTGACGCTTGAAACGATTGGGGACCAACAGGTCCACACCTTCTGTGGGCCGCATGGGCCGGGCCGTAGGCAACGTCAGCGCGCGCGATGCAGCACGCGTGCGCGCGTCAACGTCGCCGCGCACGCGCGTATCCAAAACCTGCAAGTTGCGCTTATTGCTGACTCGGGCCATATATCTATCCAACTTATGCGTTGGTTGAATATATGTGTGCTTGTATACCAAAAGGGAATTGATGTGTCTCCATCCTATTCTCACTTTTGGAAGCTATATGTTTGATTTGGAGAACAAGTTGTGTAGTAGGGCTCGTTTTTTTTTCCATGGTTTAGAATTAATTTTGAAGATAGTTCCACCGCTTGCTCTTAAGCTTAACAACCACATCTAAAATTTAAAATTTAGAAAATCCAAATTTGGTTGTAGCTTATAGTCGTCCATTAATGATAACACTGAAGAAAATCATCGGAAAAAAATATCTACTTGATTTTAAAATTAAGTACTAAAATCCGAATTTGGTTGTACCTTATAATTCTATATATTGCTCTAGGTGTGGTTGTTTTCGAAATGTAAGCTGTATTAGTTCAACTTGTGTCACAAGGATGAAGAAAATAAATCAAATGACTTAGTTGCCTTTAATTTATAGTACAACATTGAAAAATATGAGTCATGTACTTTTTTTTAATAATAACATTTATTTAGCAAGTACGTACAAGAAGAAAAACAATAGTGACTAAAAATTCCAAAACTACTTACATTTACATTTTGAGTTGAGAAGGATAAAACAACTTAATTAAGTACAAATTCAATGTAGCTTTTAGTTTTTTTTTATTTACAGGATTAATCTAGATTCTTTTTATGCTTTAATTTGTTAGGTTATAGTTTACTGTTTCATATTTAGCAAGATCCACGCTAAAAATATAATAACATTCTAAAAAATAAGTTATAATTTCATTTGTATAAATTAAAGAAAAAAGTTAATATATTAATTGTTTGAGCGTGGATCTAGTAGTTAAAAAGTGTTGAAGAAATAAGGAAAAAAAATCTTTCAACAAAAAGATGGCCGGTGAAAACGGTACGGAAATTTCCGAGATTTCCAGCTGCCATCTCCAGTTTGCATCGATCGTTTCAGTCGGTATTGGTAACCGATTATGGTGGAAATGGAAACAGTAATATCTTCTGGAAATGATAGTGAAAATGGGATGGAGGTTTTTCCACCGTTTTGGTCGGTAACCGTAGTTGTACGGTATTTTTTGTCAAAATTCCGAAAAGATTTCAAAAGTTCCCCAGCGACTCAGCCAGCTCAACCCATCGGAAGCCCATAAATAAAAGAAGGCTGGTAAGCTTGCAGCCCGAAAAAAGAGGAAGTGACAAGGGAAATGTTGTTAACCCTATGACATGGCTGACATGGCATGTGGATTTTGGTGAACTTTGGTCTCCTCAACTTATCAATGTTAAAGTATTGTTGAATTTTATTTATAGGGAAAATTTGAACCATGCCACATCAATTTTGCAAAATTTTTGATATGCCACCCTGACCCACATGTCATTGACTCATGTGGGTCCTACATGTCATTGAGATACGGGTGGCATATCTCAAATTTTGCAAAATTAGGGTGGCATGGTTCCAACAAACCATTTATATTGCTTGTCAAACTTATTATCATATCATTAATCATCATATAACAGTGTTATGTGGAGTGTGACGATGCAATAATAAAGTTAAAAAGTCATCTACGTGCATAGTTAAATGTGTGCTATGCCATACTCCGTTGATTCCGACATGAATTTTCGATTTCTGACCAATAGTATATTCCGTTCTGATGGTATTGTTTCCGATATACCGATATTATTGATATCGTTACCGTTTTCGGGTCTACCATTCTAATTCCATTTTTGAGAAAAAAAAATAAAAATAAAAATGGTACATAGTTTTTCTAACCATTTCCCTCCTTAGATGGCCCCATATTTTTCAGCCGTCGGAAATACTGTGTGTCCATATTACGTCGTCCCCAGTATCATCCGGCCGGAACCCGTAAATGCAAAAGTTAACGAATGCGACAAAACAATGGCAACTCCATTCTCAAATCGTGCGATTTTACTTGTTTTTAAGCATCACACATATCGCACCATTCTTTTACACATTAATTTACACACGTACGCTTGAAAATTACCGAAGTCAAACAAAAACATATCACTTAATTAATTACTATACACATGTTTTCCCATCAAATGCGCACGTCAATCTCTGATTAATTATTCTACCTAACCTTAGGTCACATTTTGAGCCATTAGGTAATTAGACATTTAGACCCCAAACTGTAATATTTAATTAAGAACCCGACACGTATGTGTCATTTGGTTAGCTAATTAATATTTGACAGAATTAACCATGCGACAGCAGACATTTTTTTTTTTGTGTGTGTGTCAATTGTATCAATCGATCTGTTGCTGTCTTGCCAGCATAAATTGTCTTTCCATGATAATCATCATCGTTGGAAAATTTATAAGGCGTGTCAAGGGTTTATTCCTGTTGGTGATTAATTAGTACACGTACGTGCGCTGACGCGCGCGTGCTGCATGTGCGCTATTAGCAGTTTCATCTTTTCTGCTAGCTACTCCTACTATGCATCAATAATCGTTGGCCTATTGCTGGTATACAGGGGTGGAGCCAAAAAAATTTCTACGCCTAGAACTCGAGTAGGGCTTAACTTATAGGATATTTGCTCTCTCAAAAAATACATAGTGATTTAAAAGGATTTAGGCATGTTTATAGAGACACTGCCCCTGCTTGTAAAAACGTGCAACACTCTGTGTTCGTTTCTCCAACAAGACATGGATTAAATTTTAGATACTCGTGGCATATTTTTCAAACTACTAAACTGTGCGTTTCGTGCAAGAACTTTATATATGAAAGTTGCTCTAAAATATCAGTTTAATCTATTTTTCAAGTTTGTAATAATTAAAACTCAATTAATCACATATTATTACCACCTCGTTTTACGTGAAACAATCTTTATCTTCATCTTCATCTTCAGGAGATTCAAACACCACAATATATGTATTTATGCCACTAATTACCCTGCAAATATTTTTGGATGAGCAAAAATGCTAATCACAGTATCGGTTTTTTTAACCAATAGAGAAAACTTCTATCAATATTTTTTAATGAACCGGCAAAAAACCGAGTCAAGCCGAGCCGCATGTGGGGTGAAATATCATATAAGTCGTGTCTCTCCCTCTCCCTCTCTTCCTTCTCTTAATTCTTCTCTACAGATCTAACCACTTCATTCGGAGGTGTCTACATTTCTAACCGTGGCTCGACTTTGGCTTGCTCTTGGTAGGCAACTACATTTCAGCATCTCGATGCTGAAGGGTCATGTTGTAGTGGCAGCGGGCGCAGATAATATGAATTGCCTAGAGAATTTATGTGGCGAGCTGGCGACTAGGGATTAACGGAGCAGGCAACATGGTTGTCCCTTCAACAGGCATACCGCTATACTGAGACCGTTAGATCTGGTCACCATGAGCTCAAGGGTAAACAGATTTGTAACCAACACCCATTATAAACGTAGGCGAATATCAAGATTAAGTACGAGCATGTAAAACGAAAAACCCATTAGAGCATGATTAATTATTTTTTAATTATTACAAACTAAAAATAGATTTATTTGATATTTTACAACTACTTTTATATAAAAAGTTTTTGCATAAAATTCACAGTTTATCGATCTAGAATCTACATCTTAGTCAGAAAAGAACGTGGCCACTTGTGAAACTGATAATTAGGAATCTAACATGCCAAATGAACATCTAATCAAACTAACATATCACATCGATATATGATACGACCATCGCATGCATCCATCAATACCTGTACAGTATACGAGACATGCACGGATGAAATTGAAGACATTATCACGTTGTCCCCATCGACCTTTAACCTCCATCTAAAGTCCCCATCGACCTTTAACCTCCATCTAACACCTGATATGATTGCATACAATCAGTCATGTCACACCATGGATATATATATATAATCCTGCAAAAAGAGCTTTGATTAATTGGAGATTGATCTGGCAATAATTATCGATCGATCTGCATATCTACGACATCACTACGTCCAGATGTCCAATGTTACGATCGACCGATCATTTTTACAGGAAATTTGATCAGTACACGTCGTGATCAATTAATCAACATATAGCAACAAAGAGCAAAATAGTGGTTTAATTTGAACCGTTCATTGGTTAACTCATGGTTGGTGCAAATTAGCTAGCTCACTCTATCACTGCGCTGCATTAGCTTAGCATGACACGTGTCTCCGATCCAAACCTCCATGGGCCCACCCAATCAAGTCCTGATGGCGAATAAATCCTTCTCTATCTGGTCACCCATCACACGTGTACAGAGCCCGGCTAGCTGCATGCCCTTTCAGCAACTTGGCTTTGTTAATTAGCCGATTAATTAGCGTCGATTAACCACAGCTCCAGGTTCTACGTAATCGTGAGATTAACCTAACTACAATTTTAATTACGGATTTGAAAAAAATGTGCACTTGCTTACCCATGCGTACACAGTTATATATTCTCAAAATATTGTTATTATATTCCCTCCGCTCCTAAAATATAATGGATTTTGGTTGGATGGGACATATCATAGTACAATAAATCTATACAGGAAGCCTGTCCAAATTCGTTGTATTATGATTCTTTTTTGTTAGATAATGAAATATACTTTCAGTATTTGCTCAACGAGCTACAACCAATTATTACACCAAATCGCTCAAAAGCGTTCACAATCTAATGAGACCAAAACAGAAAGCAACACAAACTAATAAGCATCAACACAAGATTAAATATCTACAATTATTGAAATCTTATTCGTGAACCTTCATTCGAAGTTGGCAAAAATGTACATATTATTCATTGTACTATAATATATCATATCAATCAAAATCTTTTATATTTTGATATAAAGAGAGTATTAGTTAAAGATAGATCGATCCTGGTTGGACAAATCCAACCGCAGTTCAATTCCGGCATAATCCAGGGAAATGGTATTCATGTTCTAAAACATAGGTAGCGTGTTGCTAGAGCTATCTATCTATCTATCTTCTACCTGTCGCTAATGATCTTTTCAACTGTGACATTTGTGTTACTCAATTAATCCAACAACTCCCCAGCCCAAGAGTAATTAAACTAAACCACGTAATTAGTCATGTAATTAAACTGCCTGCAGTCCATTCCGGTGTGACACTTGCGCAAAACAACGAGAGAAGCTTCAATATGTTTCTTCACACGTGTGCGTACGTAGCGCCAAGTGGATCCTCAATGATTAATGGTGATCAATTTGCATCTAATAATTGAGCATCACGGATTGGTATGGTTCTCATTTAATTACCTTTGGATAAATGTGCATGACAACCGAGGCATGTTTGATGGTGGAGTTGTATGTGTAACTTAATTAGGCCTTTTTTTTCTTCTAATTGTTTAAAATTTAGAGTATTATTTTAATGGGTATTTAGGGTTTCAATAATTATGGGTTCTTTATCTTGTATTTGGTGCTTATTCGTTTGTGCTTGCGTTTTGTTAAATCTCGGTGTGTTCGTGTGAAACTATCTGTGTGCGATTGCTTTAGAGCGAATTTGTATAATAATTTATTGTAGTTCATTAAGTAAAGACTGGATTTTATTTTATTATCTTAAAAAAGGTATTTAGGGCCGGGATCTAGTCTTAACTGTTCTACTCTCGGTTCCACCCTGCCTTTAATTACGTTTACTAACTAACGGATATGGTGTTTGATTTTTACAGGCTCTCCGTCTCTTGACCATGTGTAAGGATCAGCACACGCTTTAAATGGATATGTGTTTGGTGACGTGCAATCGAAAAATGATATAGTTAATAGCCATATGTCAACAATGTTCTATACAGTAATTAGCATACAAATGGAAACGGAACTTTATTAGCCATGTGCCACATTGGCTACCTGCAGGATGGAGAGGATGCATATGCATGATATGATGTTGTACGAACCTTATCATAACGCGTAAAGACAAACCGACCAAAGGTCAATTACGCAACCGGAGAATTAATTCCAACACCTACAACTCTCCGTTTTAAATGTACATCACTTTTAAACATACGTTTTATCATTAAACTTATTTAAAACTTTAACTTTATAAAATACTTACTCAGTCTCAAAATATAAAAGATATTTTGGACGGATGAGAGATTTACTTAGTAGTATAAATCTGGACAGACTCCATATCCAAATTCATTATACTAAAAGTTTTCTTATCCGTCCAAAATTTCTTATATTTTAAATCCATATCCAAATTCATTATATTAAAAGTGTCTTATCCATTCAAAATTCCTTATATTTTAAAACGGAGGAAGTATAAGTTATGCATGCTTAAAATACTATGAAACAAAAGAGATAATAATTGTATAAATTTTTTCAATAAACAAATGATTAAATATATATGTCAGGAGGAAAGTACTAATACAGTACATATATGTATACAAGATCACAATACACACCGTATCATTGGTTAGGTATATATATGAGAGAGATACATGCACTAGTATAATACACATTCACAGTTTCACACCAAGTAGCTTCCAAGATCACAACACTTCATAGCATTTGTTAGGCACGCATGAGAGAGATACATTCACTACTCTACTCTTAGATTTTACATTTTTACAAAGTATATGTATGACTTTAATCTTTTCTATGAACAGAACTATATGTACATATTTCCCTATATAAGCATGATTTTGATGAACAACAAACATAAAAGGGAAAACATTTACATGATCAATGCACGCGTATATATATATCCCATATTTAATTAGCATGTGCATGCAGATGCAGTGCAAGAAAAAAAACTGCAAGCTAAGACCTCACGACGTCGCCGATGGCTGGCGGCGGAGCACCGGCGGGATGACGGCGGCGGCGAAGGGGCCAAAATGAGGCCGTCTGGCGCCGAACAAAGCGGCGGACGACGACGGCGGTGAGCCAGCGCCCGGAGACGGCACGGCGGCGGCAGCGGTGATGGCGGCAGGGGCGCCGCCGCCGGCGAAGACGCGCGGAGAGAAGCTCTCAGAAGCTGCCGCAGCAACGACCTTGCTATGCTCACATGAAGGGCACACCCGGAACACCGTGCCGGCAGCAGCTGGTAGGTGGTGGAGGCCGTACAGCGGCGGGTACGACGACGTGGTGGTTCGGAGAGTGCCACGCAGCTCGGCCACCTCCCTCTGCAGCCGCCGGTTCTCCCGCGTCAGCCTCTCGCAGCAGCGCTTCAGATGCTCGCAGTCCACCTCCGTCTGCTTCAGCTTCGTCCTGAGAATGATATATACATATATGTTGAGATGATTGATTCATGAATCATGATATAGTTTGGAGAATAGCTAGCTATAGCTAGCATCATTCTTAATTTGGTTGAGATATTGGAGAACACAGCAAATTAAAGGGAGATTAGTAGTATATGGTATGGTTTGTTTGTTACCTAGCTCTTCTGTTTTGGAACCAGACCTCCACTTGGCGCGGTCGAAGGTTGAGCCGATTAGCTAAATCACTCTTTTGTTTCTGTATACGAAATGAAAGGTAACTTTTGATTTCATTTCGGCTGTATCGATCTTATGCAAACAAAGAACTTTAGCTTTATTGACTTTAATCGCGATATGCTGGAACTTTTTTCTAAAGGAAGCTTAAACTGTAAATTAACATCCCAATCACACTCGAGTGTGAAATCAAACATGTGATATGTAAGTTAACCACTGAAGTGAGATGTAACATTTATTGCCAAGATTTCAAAATTTTTATTTTGTTACAAGGATCCGTTGCCATCAGAAGACCAATGTCCTCTGGAACTAATTTGGACTATTTCATAATCTAAGGCACCGTGTTAGTAGAAAACAGAGATGTGTGATGATTATATAGGGTTTCCTGAAGAACATATGGAATCCATCAAACTGTTATAACTCTCAACGCTTTGTAGCATCGAAACTATATGTAACTGATCTCTTCGAACAAAGTCAAGAAGAGGAGGTAAATTAAGTTGATTGAACAATATCCTTCTAATTTATATGAACTAGACAGCATCTGCAAATTAAGAGACCTGATATACTTGATAGGACATGCGGTCTGATGCTTGATAGGTTTGTAAAAGTTGGAAAGATTGAGCAAGATACGACACATACCGGAGTCAGGGTGCTGTGTTCTTTGAAACTATCCTCCAGAAACGAGGACTGTTCCTTGGATAGCCTCAACTTCTTCCTCGCGCCACCACCGCCGTTATCCTCATCGTCTGCAGCTTCCTGATCAGCTACCTGCTGTCTCGTGGATGCCTCCTGCATAGAAGATGGTGACGAAGGCCTCCCTGCCTCTGCGCCTCCGTCTGCTGGCCGAGTGTTCACATCAAAACCACGTGTGCACATCTCTGAATTCGCACTGCCTACACAGAAAAGGACTCATCACCATCCAACGATTTTTCATGCTCTTATATATTAAGCTCTGCTGTACTAAACCACCTACAGACCAACCTGGAAGTTGCAACTAATCATAACAACAGAGCAAATATGTAAAGTTCTCCTTCGCTTACCGGTCTCTGCAGAGGATACAAACAGAGGGAAGCTCAAGCTCTCGACAGGAGCCTCGCCATGAGGGCGAGTTTCATCTTCTTCTCCCTCCATAGCTTCTTCTGATGATTGTGTGCATGTTGTCTGGTCATCCTGTTCATCTCTTCTAGTTGCTCTTACTCCAAGCACAAGCTCCAGGTCTTCTTCATCGCCCATGCATGTTGGTATAAGCACCGGTGTAGGCGCAATGGTGGCCTTCACTGGAGCTGGAGAGTCCCCTAGACTAAGCTCAAGTTCCATATCAAGGAGAGAGAGGGGTCATGGAGTGAGGAGGCAAAGAGGAAGCAATAAGCAACTATCATATATATAGTGGTGATGGGCCAATCATCAGAGATTGACCAGAATAATAAAATAACAGTATCCAAGATGACTAAGTAATCAGAATATAGTTTTAGATTACTGTTTATTTAATGCTAGGGAAGGTGATCAATCTAATCACAAATAATTGGAATCAAAAGTTCATGTGCCATTAGCTCGGTGATTCTTGAATTATTATATCAGTGAAGGTTTGCTTATTTCCAAGAGGATTTTCCGCATGGACATTCTATATTTGAGTTGTTCCTTCAGTATATATTCTTTCTGATTAACGAATGTAAATAATATTGGAGAAATATGAACTCTTTATGTCTCACAGTAGTTTAGTATTTTTCATATGCATAAAAGGTCTTTTTATTACCAAATCATTGTACTTCGTTTTAGGCAATTAAAACATACCATTTCTTTTTGTAGTCATAGCTTATATATAGATGTCTCAATATGCAGAAGTTATATAGGAAATATTAAAGATTTCCAATGGTTGCGATAGAGCCGTGTCAACTGACCATAATGTTTCTTGAAACAGAAGGAAATTAGGTGGGGAAAAAGGAGAGATTATTTCCTCCAGTACAACATTTTTTAACTTTGAAAGAAAAAGCATGGCTGAAAGCTTCCATCTATTCACAGTTTTTGAATTATCACTTAATTGTACAGACAGTGATACTGAGCATAACAAAGGTAGAAATTACTTTGTCATAAAAATTGCTTCAGAAGTTATCCCTCCTCAAAGATTATTTAATAAACCAGTGGTATAAAATGAATATAAAATAAAACAATAATGCAATAAAGTCTCATTGAATTAATCGTATATCACCAGGTGGTAAGTAGGAAAGCTGTGGTAAACTGGTAATGTCTAGAATCTGTATATGTCAAATCTGAACTGGAATCATCTATGAACTGAGTTGAGTGGGGCCTATATCTACTGATATAGATGACCATGATAGTATGAGAATGTGATTCTATGCAAAAAGAAAAAAAAAGAAGGAAAAAGAAGTTAATGATTTAAGAAGGAAACACGCTGAGTATGTAGTGAGTACAGATGTGTGGGTTCTACAAGTAAATAATGCTAAAGCAACTCCTATTAGATGCATCTAACCAGAATTGCTATGTAACTTGAGCAAGTTTCATCTGGACTAATTAACATGAAGCATGAGTTCAAACTAAGACTATATTCTGGTATAGTGAGACAGTATACTACTGATTGACCACAATGAATTTAATGCTATGCATGATAATGCATAAAGATTATACTGAAACTGATGAATCTTCCAACAGTGACTTTAGTCAACCCAAGGTTCTGGTGTCCTGATGGAATACATTGCAGAAAATTTGATTATTGCTACATCAATCATGCAGCACACATGCACATGAATTCCAATCATCACGTAATGATATTACTAGAGGGATGTCATAGATTACAACTAAGGACTGTTATTGCTCTACTTGCAAAAGAAAGATTTGAGTAGGAATCTATCACATACCTTATAAAATGAGAACATTGCTTTCAGTAAAATTTCAGCAAGGCCGTACTTTGACAATTAGAACCAGTAATATATTTATAATATTCTTTGACAATGTATGGTTATATATAATAGAGAAAAAGGTTGATTGACATGGTCAAGGGTATAATTTTATCATGAAGACAAATTGCCTGTTGACAGCCTATGGATCTAAAATTAATAGGACAGAAAAATGAGTGAATTTTAGGATCATTTTATTATTGTCTGCGTCTGAGAATATTCTTTAGATAGATGAAAGTAGACAGTTCAGTATAGAGCACTCAACTGATGGTGATGAGGCCAAAATTCCGACCCTCATGAATATTTGCAAGTAACTGATTTTGAATGTTCCAGAAAAAAAAACTATTTTTTTCATCTATATATCTTGCTTTCAGAGATGGCAGACTGAAGCATCAGCACTAAAACCTGTAATATCTAGCCCTTGTTTTTAAAGTCTGAACGTACTACTTATTTGATGGATCAGTACGTATTTATATTTTGGAACAAAAAGAAGCACTCAGTATTGTTTTATAGAAGCAGTATTGTTTTATAGAAGTTTCTATTAGTTTTATGCCATTCAGTAAATTATGAACGTATAGTAAAATTGTATTCAAATTTTAACTCCAAATTGAAAGACTCAAATGTGAAGGCAGAATGAATAAAGCTCTCTACAAATTATAATACCATTGGTTATCATGCCACATCATTGTGTGCTAGAAATGTTCTTCATACTTTAAAACATATCACAAAATTAGAAAATAATACTTTGAAGTTTGGAGATGATGCTGTTTTTTGAACAAAACACAGGGGAGAAGTCCTCTGCGGTTATATTTTATATTTATATTCAAGAGAGTTGCGTCTTCAACAGAAAAGTAATACAACTAATTTTTCATGCCTTATCGTGCATTTACTTTTTTTTCGTTTAACCAACGGGAGAAACTTGGTTGCCACATGCAAACAGCAAACCTATCTTGCTATGATTTCTCTTGTATTAAAACCCGATTAGTATTTTTAAACAGGTGATGTTCTGAAGGCTGGGTCTGGAGAAGCTGAAGGTTTCTTAGTAGAGCACAAACAATACTAGTTTTAAAATGTAAATGTGACAGTTCATTTTATCATAATATAGTTTGTCTTTTTTATGAAAACCCATTCCTAACAACCCATGAAGCTGCGGTACAATGAGATAATAGGAGTATGTAGATCCAAGTGATATGCTTTGAAAAAGAGCATACATATCAATACAACAGAAGTAAACCTTCAGGAAAAGGTTGATGCGTATCATCCTAGATGCCAAAGCTAACTGGTCCAGATAAGTGTGATAGCATTTTCAATGTGTCAGCATAAAAAGAAATACAGTGAGGGTACTAAATTTCCATAACAAAACTATGTTTCAAAACTATAGAACAATTTAGTTGAAAATGGATTCAAATCAAGCCACAACACCTCCTAGCAGGACTTAAAGAGCCAAATATATTACTCTCCATCCCAAAATATAACAATATAACAATTCAAAATTTATCCCAAAATATAACAACTTCACCTACATTCTCTTCTCAACCAATCACAACCTTCCACCATTTAATTTCTCCACCTACTTCCTCTTCTCAACCAATCACAACATTCTCCCATTAAATTCCACCTACTTTCTTAATACCCATGTCCAACCCTAAAACTTCTTACATTTTGGGATGGAGGTAGTAGCAGGTCTTAAATCAGTTGTTTTTTTGGACAAAAATAGTGAAGTCAGATATCAATCTATCCAAACCAGTTGGCAATTTCATTGCTACTAGGTCTTCTAAACTATAATAAAAGTGAGGTATAGGAATGGCTAGAATGCCATCATTCGGATGCTCTGTATAAACCAATATAATTGGATTTGCAAGCTACACTGTCATCAACAAAGCTTCGCTCTAGTTTACTCACCATACAATCCACATTGACCAGTGATGCAAAAGCTTTGATTGAAGTGTTAGCAGAAACAGCTGCATAAGTAGCTATTGTCGGATTACAGAGTGAGGGCTCAAAGACTTGGAGTTCTTTTTTTAAGGTAAAACAAATCTAGGCTTTAAAACAGAATCAGTCTTTAGTATCAACTAGGCAGACATTTTTACAAGAGAATTTGGCAATTAAGAGCACTTCTAGCTTGCTTTTCTCAAGGAGTATGTATTCTCTTTAATTGGCAGAAATTCAACTTTCATTCAGGTATCGTGATTTTAGCCTCTATTATTGAAACAGTCTCCAATATTGTGTTATCCAAACTACTTGGTATTGCACATTTTAGTCATTCACTTGGTATTTCATAAATCATGGTTGACTCTATTTTATGTGCTATGACAGAGCTGTATGACAAAGTAACACCAAATCATGAATAACCTATTTTGCAATTGTTGTTCACTTTCACAAGACCACAAGAAATCAACTTAAAATCAGATTCTCTGTATGCCGCCATCTCATAAGATATTATTGAGTGTTTGTTATGTTTCTGCATTTAGATGCAATCACCAAAACTTCATCCATATCCTTCATTTAATATGTACATGTTGTGGTTCATATGATGCTTTTCCGTAAAGGCATCCAATCAATAAATGCAGGCAATGTCTTAAGAAGAAACATACCTCAGATCTGTTGGGAACAATCTTACACCACCTGTCGTCAGAAAAGCACTAGCAGCAGGCCTTCATCGATTCAGATGTAGCAAAGACCTTTGGTTATTGATTGGTGGTTCCAAATTATTGGAAAAACATCAACCGTTTGGGGACACCAGATAGATTATTTCTGAAAAAAGTTGATGCAGTGATTAACTTTCATGATGCAATACTAATACCAAGCACATTGTGTATATCGGCAATCTCTCCAATTAATTCATGCACATTAAAATCTGAAATACAAATCAATCAATGTATTAATCCATCATTACCAATTTAACACTTGAAAAAACTGCCTCTTGTATATATGTAAACTAGAATATCCTTCTAGATTGAAGAACACATTTCGCCATGTGGAGTCTTCCGTCGAAGTGGATAACAACACTAGCGCTATTTTCTCTCAAATTTGAATGTTTAACGTGGACTTTATTGGAAACTTTTACACATCAGAGTATCGTGTTCCATATGTAGAACTTGAACTGCTCCAAATCTAGATGTGCATGACAATTCATAATTTCATACAGTACAAAAAGTTCTGATGCACTGAAAAACATTGCAGCACACAAGCACATGCTATCCCTCCATACAGACAAAACTGAAGTGGGATGAACCAAGCAAAACTAAAGAACATAATCCAGATGTGCTAATAGCCTGACAAACCAAATAGCACAACTGATTATGTTGTGCCGAAACTGAAGAACTCCATGCCATATTTTGCCATAGTTACCACAGAACAAAGCCTTGGCAGGGAAAACTATAACAGTTAAGCATTCTACATATTCTTATTGCTAACTTAATTAACCAATGTGTAACTGGAGAACCAACAGATCCGTAAGATGGTAAGGAATGACACTATGACAGTCATAATACACAAAATTTAAATTTTTAATAATTGTTCATTTTTAGTTATGAAAGGTATAGGTGTAAAATGAAATGTATAGTGCCAACGAATGTGATATGTATATGTCATATTTAATGAATGCCTCCTACAGAAATGCATCAGCTGATCTATCCTTCTTAGTTCTTACATGATAATTATTAATTGGAAATAATAAGTGTGCAACATGACAATACATCGCGTAAGTTGCGTGTCTGCTATAGGAACTGAGGTGTCATTCTCTTACGTCAATTATACTCGACGTAAACTATAAGAAGAGAACATGATAACATAGATCTAAAACAGCGGCATCACAATTAACAAAATTTACAATATGCAATAGATACCAAGTGACCTTGTAGCATGGCAGTTTCTTGAATATTAAAATGCTACATGACTTGTCCATGATCATTTCTTAGCGGCCACAACTGAAAAAAAAAACAATGATGTACAGATGCTTGTCAACTGACTTATTAGGAAATTCAAGTTTATAATGTTAGTCATGGGAAATATGTGAATAACAATCAAGCTATGTTCATGACCTGCAAATACCAACTTCAGATAGTTCATGCTCTAGATTATTAAGTTTCAATCCCATAGAACTTTCCAATTCTTGATTTTGTGCTAAGCAGCAAACAATGCACCTTAAACAAGGATAGATTCAAGAATGACATGGCAGTCTTAAATGCATCTTCCTATATACTAGAAAAGGGTTATGTATTAGCTCTTATAAGATCAATTTAAGTTGCACTTTACATGAAATATGTTAAATGAACATTTTTACCATTGTTTACCGATGATAGATGGCATAATTTAAAGAGGCCATGCCAGAACAACACTGTCATAGCCTTTTCAAGTCACTTTAAAGCACACATCTATATTTTGCTAGAAAGATATAATATGGGATCATTTCCAGTATTTGACTTGCGTGTAACAGGCATCAAATATATGAAAAGAAAACCTGATAACATTGAATACTGCCATCTGTAAACAGTCATTTGTGTGCCACTTCTAGGAATAATACGATTGACAGGTCTTGATGTCCTCTATATCATGCATGCAACTCAGACTGCCTGCCTGTTAAAATATTTCAGCAGGTTAAAGTATGAGCATTTTGAGTTCATACTAGTAAAAACCAACATTTATGAACTGTTTTAAGAATTTATAGTTGTTGTAAACAAATTTGTCCAAACATCACAAGTGAATGCATATGAACACATTGAAACAAAAGCATAGAGTCCCCAATTCCCATACTGAGAATAAACTACTGTCACTCCACGAGCACTACTGAGCTTTTATTGTTTTTCAAAGGTTGACTTTCTATATTATTTGACTTCCAGGGCCCACATATTCTTAAAGCGGGTTACTCCACGTCCATGTTACTGCTGCCCTGAGGTTATTGAATGCAGTATAGCTTAAAGATCTAATAACAATATAACATTCATGCTTGAGCAACTCCTAATTATTTGTAATATAAAGTCTATCTAATATGTTCAGTTTAGTTCCTTCTCTTTGTACGTGGAAGTGTATCATTTAGTCATAATGCCCTCATGAATATGGATAAACAATGAGAGGTTTGTGTCCCTGTAGGCGTAGCGCTGTCAATTACATATTTTCTACCAATGTTAAAAAGAAAATTCAAGATATTCACATTCAAGAGAAACTAAGCATGGAACAGGTTGCAGCACATATGAGATTGGTGGATACTGGATAGAAGAGCACAAACTAGGCAAACTCACATCGCCATTGAAGAAAGAGTATAAAATAAAGTCATGCCACGGCCACTTCCTCTATGAATAGTACTGTAATTCTTGCCGGATGCAGCATGTGATCGTATTTGTTATATCAAATGTTCTTTCAGGAGCACCATGGCATTGTTTGCCTACAGCATGTGCTACGGGATAAGCCTTATGTATCACTCAAGACACTCATTAATAGAGCATTAGGGCAAGATTAATTTATTTCCCCACCAAACCTCCCTCCCTCTCAGTCTGTGCGTGTGTTACTATTAACAGTAGCTTCGGCTAAGGTCCACGGTATATATGCAGTTAAGCAGAGAAAAGATAAGGAGGGCACAAGGATCAAAAGTAAAAAGGAACAGATGCTCAGGGCATGTTTTCAGTAGAAAATGTGATTTACCTGTAGCGTCAGAGCGACTGCATATTTGCATTGCTGCTGTTATCTGCAGTCACCTGTGATAGGGTAAAAGGAGAGAATAAGTACAATTGTACTACCACTCTTCCTAGAAACAACATGCATTGTACTACATTCTGTCGGTACAGAACAAATCAGAAACCGGTGTACTCTAGTTTTGGAATGCGGCATTGCAGTCTGCTAACTGCACGCGGGAGAAAAGGCAAACAGAGCAGCATGCTAGTAAAGAGTGAACTGCAGAGGACACACAGTTCATGTCTAAAATGCAAACCAATGCAAGACACCACGATCTAAAATATCAGACTTTATACAGAAATTAGAAGCTGAATCTTGCACGAGTCTCCATGCTAAATCCTGGAAAATCGTAACAATGTTTTACATTATAGAATGTTTGGACATGAAATGCAGGAGCTTGTTCCAGGGATCAATTGAATGATTTCTTCATTCCTTTTTAGTTTCTTCCTTTGCACAAACATAACAGCTCAAACACCAAACAGATATTCAATAGAAATCATGAAAAATGAACCCAGATATGAAGCTTTTCCAATGAAAATAACATGAGGCTTCCTTTCGAGGGCATCATTTATCTTAGTTTCTGGAAAAAAAAATCATGTTCCCAGTTCAACGGATTTCACCAACAAATACGGCTCACTTGACACTTCAACAGATTAATCCCTCAAAAGAAAAGAAAGGAAGATCAAAGCACCAAAATTCCAATGAACAATGCTCAAATGTGATTGGTATTGAAATATTATTTTATGAGCCAACTTAGAGAGTTTTAAGAAGTCCATAAGTACAAGATGCACGCAAGAAGCGTATGTAACAAGAATACCGATTGCAGTGATCTCACAATAGGACAATATATACATATTATATGAACTAGAAACCCAGCACCAATCATTATCTGCATTTGCATATAGATCTGCAATTGGAGGTGTCAACGGCACAGCAAACTGGATGCTTCAAATTTCTGAAGAGGCCCTGTACCTATCGGGCGGTGGCATTACAAACATCTCGGTTGTAAACATCACCTTTTATTATTCAACATAACTCATGAATCTCTCTTTCTGTGCTAGGTAAGTTGACTAAGCAAACTCAAAGACATCAATTATCATTCTGGAGTCCTTACCTTCATTAATTGTGCAATGTGCATTAATTGTGCAGGAATGTTTAGCATTTGAAAAGTACATGGAGCCTGGAGAAGATGCTTCATTCCCCCTAAACTATAGCGTGAAAAGTGAGTGAGGCAGAGCAATGGAAGGGGGCCAGTAGTCATGCAAGTAGCAGCACCCTCTGACTGGATCAATCAAATCCTGGCTGTATTTTCATTCATTATCTTGTCAATTTTGCTGACAAGCTAGACTTAACTATAACACACAAGTATATTTTTATGGACGTAAGCATTCAGGCAATAAAGATTGCTCATGCATGCATTGTGTACTCATGATCTAATGTCTAATCAAATGCAGAAGCATCTTTCTGTTAGCTCAGTTCAAGAGGGCCTCAATACTAGATATGTAAAGGTGACAGTTCAGTTGCAAAATGCAGAGATTTGTGTTTTTTTTATGGTTTCATAAGCCAAAATTGTACCAGACTATCTCTATATGGTGAATACGAAAAATAAAATATTGACGTAGGTTTTTCACTGGGACCATGGAAATTACAGATTGCAGAAATGTATTATTATGAGAAACAGAGCAAGAATTTGATTCGTTTCTTACCCACCATCACTTCCATCAACTTGCATTAGTTTGATATGCTTTAAAAGCAATGAATTGACTATCAGAAGGTCAAAAGATATAATTGCAGAAGCTTCAATCTTTTTCCATGGTAACAACACCCCTAACAGAATAAAATTCCAATCATTAGCATTGCTTTTAGTATAAATTTACAAAATGTGAAGTAGTTTGCTAGTGTAAATCATC